TGGAGAAAAAACAATATCACTCTAGAAGTGATCATATTCAGCCAGGTATGCATTAATGATAAACTCTAGTGTCCTAAAAGAAATATATATTCATACAAAGATTAAGTAAAATGAACTAAAACATATTTATATTGTATTACAAACATATTTATATTGTATTAATCTAGGCCCAGCATTTGGCCTAGAAGTAGAGCTGTTGCCTCACAATCAAGAGGCTGTGAGTTTGATCCTAAGTAGATAGAATAGAAGATAGAATTCTTTATTGGCAAAGTGTGGTTGGAAACACAAGGAATTTGTCTTGGTGTGAATACTCTCAGTGTACATAAAAGAAAAGATACATTCGTCAAGAGTCAAGAATCATAAGGTACAATACTTAATGATAATCATAGGGTACAATAATCAAATCATACTAGGAAATAGTCAATATAGATCGTAAGGATACAAGCAACAAAGTTACAGTCATAATCACAAGTGGAAGGGAATGGGTGATAAGGAGTGATGAGAAGATTAATAGTAATAATAGTGCAGACTCATAATAGTTGAACAGTGTTGAGGGAATTATTTGTTTAAAAATGTGTTCCCTGCCTAATATTTGGAATAGACTATCCTGCTTGAGCAGGAGGTGGACCAGATGACCTCCAAAGTCCTTTCCAATTCTGTTATTCTATGTTATTCTAAGTTCATTAACAAGGGATTCTGATAAAATTATGAGCCGATTAAGAACTAAGAATCAAAGAGACCAGGTACTTGCTGTAGTTAGGTCCGAAAAATGATATAGCTTTTTATAAAATTAGATCTATATAGATTATAATTAAACCAACATTATAATTTCATATTCCTCAGTACTACACATCTCTATAGAAATGACCAAATGGAAGCAGTGACTTTTAACTTGGTTTGAATTTATTGATGGGATCCATGTTACTGGCGTTTTGTCAGCATCTTTCTAAAGAAAGTTCCATTGTATATTGGGCAATTGATCTATAGCAAAAAATACTCATTGTGACACTCTCATGGATTCTAGATTAACTGAGATTTAAGAGACAAAAGCACTGGTTCCTTTATATCTCCTTATAAGGGAAGAGATATTTGTTGGGGAGATGTTTAGTTTGTAAAAACAAACATAGTTTCTGAATGCTTCCAAAATTGTATTTATTTGCTATTTCAATACTATTATATACTTACTATTACAATACATTATGGCAATGTTTATATTATATTATATACTATATTATTACTATTCAATTTATTATAACCTATATGATTTTCTATTATTATTATCTATATTCTATACTACACACTATTACAGAGAGCCAGATTAGTGTAGTAGTTTAGTCTAGAAACTGGAAGATTATTAGTTCTAGAATCTAGATCTATCTTGAATACAAAGCCAACAGGGTGACCTTTTGTCTCTCAGTCCAAGGAAGGAGACAATGGCAAGCCACTTTCAAAAAACATTTCCAAGAAAATTGCAGAGATTGTCCAGGCAGTTTCCAAGAATCAAGGTATCTCCAAGAACTGGACATGATTAAACAAACAAAAATCTCTACTATACACTATTACTACTATGCATCAACATTTCTTTCTTAACTCTCAAATCCCATCCCTCTCTTCTTTTTCCTGTTAATGGCCAGCATGTGGAGCTCTTGCATTTTTTACATTATCCTTTGTCTTGCTATGCCACTGTGCTTTATTTTCCTGCCTTTTGGACCATCTGCTACTTCTGAAGAAAAAAATACCTTTTATTCTATTATTATATATTGTTTGCTGGTGGCTCCAAAGTCCTCTCACACCTGTTTCAAGGTTGCAGCTTTATTGATCATTTTGCAGTGCTGATAGTGGGGAAAAAACTTTCCACTTTTAATCCAGTGTAACTCTACTGTTTCATTACGCAGATATTATTCTTAAAATATTTCTTTTGGAACTGGCCTCAGAACTTGGGCAAACCAGTTTGATTACAGGTAGCTATATGTAAATACACACACATGGGGGGGGGAGGGAGAGAGAGTGAAGGCCACACTTACATTTTCAATGACATGCTCTGATCCAGATTCTCCTCACCCTCCCAAAAAGTCTAGGTCTAGGAAAAAGAAGTAGGTGACTGTAAATACTAAAGTTAACTATTTTTAAATGAGTTTTTCAAATTGTTCTGTATATAACATTTTTCTTTCAGTCCTTTGGAAGTTGAAGCATTCTATTATTCTCCTTTTCCTTATCCTAGAACAGGGGTGTCAAACTCAAGGCTCACAGGCCAGATCCAGCCCGCAGAGTGCTTAAATCCTGCCCATGGAGCCAGCCTGGAAATATCAAAAGACTGGCCTGCAGTGCCTCTAGTGGCTAAAATGGATCGCATGCACCCCCGCACCTCATTTTCACCCTCCATGGCCTCCTGCAGCACTCTGCCTGCTGAAACTGGGTTGAAACCAGAATCAAAACTGGACCCAATACAGGCTAGAAAATGGATCAAAAATGGCCAAAAAATGGGCCGAAAAATGGGTCAAAACCAGGCTGAAAAACAGGCCCCAAACTTCCTAAATAACAGCCCAAAAATGGGCCATGCCGCCCATTTTGGCCAGTAGTGCATTGCAGAAGGCCATGGAGAGCGAAAACGAGGTGTGGAGGGGGAACTCATACTGACCCCCCACATCCCATTTTGGCCGGCAGGGTGCTGCAGGAGGCATCCATCCTGCTGCACTCTGCCCCCCACCCCACCACCAGCCCACAGAGGAGAATTATCCAGCCCTTGAAGAAATCCAGTTTGATACCCCTGTCCTAGAACAAAAAAAACCTCAGTAGATGTGAACTCAGCATAAAGTAATATATCTGTTTTGAGGAAATTCTGAGTTTGGACTTGTCTAGAAAGTGAATATCTGTTCAGAAGAACTAGAAAGAACTATTTTTCTCTAGTTTTCTCAAGTCTTAAAACTTGTTATCTGAGTGTAGAATTGATATGGCCTAGGAAAAAAGCCCAGAGCAGACGTTTTAAGTATCTCTAATCAACAATATCTTCCATCCGAATTGTATATTTAAATAATTTTATATTGAATATTACCCTGGTATTGAACACAGGTATATTATTTTCCTCTTAAATGAAATATATAATTGCTTTGGATAATTGCAATTGGATTGCTAAAACAAAATAGGAATCTCTTGCTTTCTTTATGATCTATAAATATAAAAAGCAAATAAGATTAAAAGTATTGTGTTTCCTACCAAAATACTATTATCACAGCAAGAACAATTCAGAACAAATGCCATGCAACTTTAGGCAATAGTTCCATCATCACCACAAAACATTTTTCCTGTTAATGCTTGATGATAGTGACTTATTTTCACATATACCACTGATTCAGTAGTTTGGTGAAAACAGTTTTCAGATCAATTTTAGTTTCCCTTGAAGCAAACAGGAGTAGAGAAAAAGAATGATCCTGAATTGTGTGCTTATTATCTTGTTATATCAGAATCAACATATTAATCAATAACTATATTTTAAATATTCTATTTTAAATGGTAATTTAAAAATACCGTTAAGACAATATAGTATCTGCTAAGCACAATATTTTTTTTAAAATTGCTTTCTGCTTAAGGTTTACATTACTATTCAGACAAAATAAAGTAATTGTAACTAGGAATTTTTGAGGAATAAAGGAATCAAATCTTATTCTTTGCTATCATGCTAATTCATAGTGATGATACATCCTATATGTAGAAGATACAATGATATTAAAAACATTAAATGTGGAAATTGCTTATATGAAATTGCTTACAAAATTACTCAACTATTATCTTGATTGAGTTCTGAATCTGATTATGTGCCATCAAACACTTAAGGATCTTTTAGTTTTTTTCCAGAACAAGAATTCTAATTTTACTAGGCTAATTTAAATGGTTATATGATTTTTTTAAAGAATCACATACAGGAGAGGGAAGCATATATTAAAATAAATGACAGGGGCCTACAAATTATTCCAGTTTAATAGAAAGAATAACCTTAGTGTATACAATTAAGACTTTTATAATACAAACACATGTAATTGGATTTCAATTCAGGGTCAAACAAAAACATAGTAACTACATTTTTATTATTAATTGCACATATATTACTTATCAAAACTATGAAAAACGAAATATAAAGTTTGTGTTGTCCAAGGAGATGCTAAAACGTGGAAGTTCTCACAGCAATAGCAAAGGATATAAAATTAAGATAAAATACAATATTTTATCGCTGCAAGGTCTTGCCACAATGAGAGTCAGAAGTGGAAAATTCAATCTAGCAGATCGACTCATATATTTCCAGTTACACGCAACTGTGCTTTAAGCCATTAAAAAAAAGGTTCAAAAACGTGTATGTTCGCGTTACTTTAATAGAAGTTGGTTAAAGGACAAACTTTTGTGTAACTTGCTTTAACTCACACCACTGGAATCCGTTTCCTTCCTCACTCCCCCACAACTCAAACCAGAAACAACAGAATTACAAAATCCGTTTTGACGCCGCAATTCTGCTTCTTACAGAAAAGAAGAAAACCCCTTTTCCATGGCCGAATTCTTATCCTTTAACGGGGGAATGGGGGGAGGAGTAGAATGGGAAAATATGCTGAATCTGAATTCATTGGCAATCATAGAAAGCACTTCACCTGCTTATTGCTACAGTCGTGATGTCGATGGCAAAGGAAGGAAGGAAGGAAAACGCCGTTCTCTTATTTAAGGCTTTTAAAGATTTTTAAAATATCTTTAAGGTTATGCAGAACGGGGGCGGGGGCGATGGGGTGTTCCAAGCGCCAATGTCACCCCGCCGCCTGCTGCTCTGAGGGCACAGAAAGAACAAAAGCAGGAAGCCCGGCCGCGCCAGGCAACCCTGAGCTGCGGGAGGAAGGGAAGCCCCGCTCGCGCGCCTGAGTCAGGGCGGAGAACGTCCCTCAAGCCCGCTCGCCTCCCGAAGGCAAAAAGTAAAAGGGCCTTTGGTGGCGGCGGCGGCGGCCAAAGCTCCGCCCCACTTTGCTCAAGGCCGTTCTCCTGTCAGGCGGAGGCTTTGTGACGCTCCCCGCGCTGGAACACCTGGAGCCACCGCGGTGGCCAGCGAGTGACGCGACGACACTCAACGGGAGGGAAATCTGTGGCGTCCCGGCAGTGGGCTCTCAGAGGAAGGCAAGGGGCGATCGAGCGACATGAGGGCACCCCGGTGAGGAGGAGCCACCGTGTCGGAGCGGGTCGCGCGCAACCGCCACGGCTTATCCTCTTCCCCGCAGAACCGCGGACGAGGTAGGTGGTCCGCACGGGAGAAGCTCTGGCCCAGGCCCTGCTCAGGTTCAGCCTCGGTCCCCGCGGCTGGAAAAACAGGTTCTTCCTGAGGCAGCGGTTACGGTTGTCGCCACCGCCGCAGGGCGGGGCTGCGCATGCTGGTCAGGAGCCACCTAAATAATAACCCCTGCCGCCTCAGCAGCGATAGTGGGGGGTGGGGGTGGAGGAATACCTGGCTTCTTTCTCTCCGGTGGAGGAGAAGGGAGAAGAAAGAGGACAGGTGAACTGCTCTGGTGAGAAAGGGAGAGGATGGGGAAGAGAGAAAGGGAGAGGATGGGGTGGATGAAGAGCTTGTAATTCGGAGAGAGCAAAATGAGACCCGAGCCCCAGTTTCTCCTCATCTGGGGAATAATGTGCTTCCAAAATGGCACCTCTTCCCTTTGCCTGCTCATTTCCCCAGACTCATCATTTCAAGATATATTATCCCAGCAGGTGCAGACCCCCCACCACCACTCCCGACGGGGAGGGGGATGAGAAAGGCCATTAGCTGCGTGATTTCCTGTAGTTAACTTGAACTGCTTCTGTCCACATGGCTTTTTTACTGTATATACCGGCTGCTTTTAAGAACTAATAAAAATTGAATCCTCCTCTAGGGAGTGTACTGTTTTGAATTGAAAAGTCAAGATGAGCAGCTGTTGCGTCTGGCTGGAAAATAGCAGGCTATTTTTTGTGATTTGGTTTGGGGGTGGTGGACCTTAACAAAATGATTAATTACAGCACTTTGTCCTATCTTTCTCCCAGGGTCCTGTGAAGCAGTGATTTGCCCAAAGCTGAGCAGAGGCTTGCAGTCAATTTCAGGTACAGCTAGTTGGGGCATTCTAGAAATTGATGTGTTTAAAGAAAACTCAAGTCAAAGCAGTAATTTTTTGCTGTCCTCAGTACTGTAGAATCTAATGAACTGGGATGTCCACTGATTTTGTGTAAGAAGTATAAGCAATTTAATGACTGAGAAAGCTGCATATAGGCACATCTCCTGATACAGAGCTGTCCAGACTTGGACAACTGCATCAGTTTTTGAACATTATTCTCATTACGTCTGTCAAATAGGAAACTGCCAAGTATAAAATCCATTGCTAAGGTAGGTGCTCATGTAGGTGTGTGCTGTTGATCTACAGTTGATAGTTCAGTATATAAACTGGAATGAAACAGCATAATTGTTGAAGTGGGATTATCAGATGAAATATAGGACAGACTGGGCAGCAGGTCATCCCAAAGATCTTGTCACTTTAATTTTTCTTAAGTATAGGTAGTCCTTGATTTACAGTGGTTCATTTAGTGACCATTCAAAGTTGCAATGACACTGAAAATGTCCATTTTTACACTTATGACCATTGCAGCATTCCCACAGTCATGTGATCAAAATCTAGACGCTTGGCAACTAGCTTCTATTTAGGATGGTTGTTGTATCCTGGGGTCATGTAATCACTTTTTGCAACCTTCTAACAAGCAAAGTCAGCAGGGAAGTGTTTCACTAGCTTAACAGCTGCAGTAATTCATTTAACAACTATGGCAACAAAGATCATAAAATGGGGCAAAATTGACTTAACAAATGTCTCAGCAACAGAAATTTTGGCCTCAATTGTGATTGTAAGTTGAGGACTACCCATATTGATGGAAGACTTAAATTATAGTGTGTATAGGCAAAAAAGCAAAAAAAATATTCTATTGATCCTGCCTCATCTCTCCCCTCGTCTCATTTCAGAGATTTTGGAAGTTGAGCCCATATAATTCATACTAACAGAACGCTCCTCTTTTAAAGCTGAGCTCACATGCAAGACCTGTGTTTAAATTATGGAGAACTTGGCTACTTTGTACATGAATGTTCTGCCAAGCACCTGCCTTTCCAAATATCAGCTAGGTTGAGGAAGTAGGAACTTTGAAAGAACTGCCTGAAAAGCTTTAGCTCTCGTGTATCAGAAAATAAAATGGTTCCAGCTATAAAGTCTCTGAGTTTAGAATACTCAGAAATTAGGTGCTGCCTAGATGTTCAATATAATACACTATCACTGAGTCATTCTTGTTATGTTACAGATTCAGAAAATCTAAAAAAAACATACCATAACTATAGGCATTTACCAACAACTTCACTGAAACTTCCATTGTACTCAAATATATCTTCTTGTTGGTCCTCCAATAAATCACTAACTATTAGTGGGAATTATTTGTGGTTTATTCTAAAGCTCACAACCCATTCCTATATGCTTTGATCATTTTGTAATCCCTATTAACAATAATCAAGAATCCCTTTAACTTTGCTTAATTCCTGCATTACATTTTCTATAGAATAAGAAATAAATTGGTGTTAGACGCAGCATGCTCATATTCATTGAGACTAGGAGGACCTAGTCTTTGATTTACATGTTCTCAGTTCACCATCTTCATCTGTAATTCCCTCCTAACTTGCCTGTCAAAAGATGTTGTTGATGTGTTTAGAAAGGGTGAGGGTCTGCATCAATTTTTTGACACTCAGTATTATTTCCACAAAACGCTACTACCATTATCAAAGTAAACTTTGCTTTTAAAAGATTTATCAATGCAAATTTACAAAAAGATTTTACTTGACTCTTCCTCAGCAAATGTTTGAATAGAAAATATATATTGTAAAATAGTCCACTGGGGTGGATCACTAGAGAGAAATGAAATAAATAGTGGTCACATGACAAAACTATTGCATCAGTAATAACCAAGAAATAATGTATGGTATTGAGGAATGGATATTCCTACACTGAAGATGAAGAAATGAAGATGTTAATGCTCCAGAGCAGTGGGGAGATCTCTCTTTTCTAAATGGAGTTAATCTAGTAGGAACTGTTATGCAGATAGAGGTGCTTCTACAGAGTTGGAAGGGACCTTGGAGGTGTTCTAGTCCAACCCGCAAGTCAAGCAGAAACTCTTTATTATTTCAGACAAATGGTTGCCCATTCTCTTCTTGTCCAATCTCTCCTGCAGGGAAATTGTTCCACTGATTAATTGTTCTGTCAGGGCATTTCTCTTATTTCTAGGCTGAATCTCTTATTGATTTCGTTTGCATCTATTGCATCGTCCTGCTGCAGAGTTGTAATTGCAGGAATGTTCCAATCTCGGATGGCAAACCTCAGATAAAGAATGTTTCCAAGCAAATACAACTCAGGTAAACAAAGTCACTAAAGGAGGATTAGAGAGAGGAAGTAAACATATGTTAGACTTTAACTAGGGATAATTAATTGTATGGATTACTGTGCTAAACAGTAATGAAAATTAAGCAGTAACCAAAGTTAACCAATGATGGAGGATAACTAAAAATGTGTATAAATGCAAGACTAGACTCCAATAAAGACCATCATGATTCTGTTGTTCATGATCAAACAACTCGACTGCCTCATCATTACAACTTCCTGCCTTCTGGTGCTTTGATAAATAGGTTGACTCCCTCTTCTTTGTGGCCATCCCTTAGATATTGGAACACTGCTATCATGTCATCCTTAGTCCTTCTTTTCATTAAATTAGACACTACTGGATGACATCGCCAGGTCTCACTATTTCAGCAGATTAAGGAAGATACTTAGGGATGACTCACACCCTAACCAGTGTATCTTTTCACTTTTACCATCGGGCAGAAGACAGAACAGGGATGGGCTGCTACCAGTTCGCACCGTTTTGGGCAAACTGGATGTTAATTTTACCTGTGGTTCACCGAACCGGTAGTTGCAACAACTGGCTGGCTCAGCACAGCACAGCCCACCCCTCCCAGGAGTCTCCAGATAGCCTATTATGGATCCCAGGTAAGTGCAGGTCCTGCATGGAGGCTTGGGGAGGGTGAAAAATGGACCTTCCAGAGGGCCTGGAAGGCCGAGGAGAGCGGAAATGGGCCTCCCGGAGGCTTCAGAAGGCCGAAAATGGGCCCATTTTTCAGGGAGATAGTTTTTCTCCCTCCCAGAGGCTTGAAAACCACCTGAGCCTTGGGAGGGTGAAAAACAGGCCTCCTGGAAGTTCTGGAAGGGTTTGGGGCCCATTTCCAGCCTTTGGAGGGCCTCTGGAGCCTGGGGAAATCATTTTCATCCTCCCAGAAGCTTGAGGAAAGCCTCTGGAGCACGGGGAGAGTGAAAATGCCCCCCCCAAGCTATGGTGCAGGAAGCCAACTAGGCCATGCCCACCAGGGCCATGCCCACCCAGCAACTGGGCAGAAAGCTGGTTGCTAAATTTTTTGAAGCCCACCCTGACACAGAAGTATAGCCAGCTGGACAAACAGGTTTAAAAGACTCCTAAAAAACAATCAAAATCATCCACATACATATGGAAAGGTATGACTAGGTTTTTTCCCCCCAATTGTTTGTATAGGAATTATTCTCTATCCTATCCATGTTGTTTTGTATTTTCCGTTATGACTAATTTTCTCCCAACACCCCCCATTGCTTGTATATGGATTATTTTCTATACTATTCATGTTGTGTTGTATTTTCTGTTATGAATTGCACCAGTAGAGGTTAAACCAATTTTGTTGTATACATGATGTACAATGACAATAAAGGCTATTACTATCATTCTCATTCATTCTCTCTCTCTCTCTCCCGCTCCCTCTCCTTAAGGACCATTTTGCTGGAATATATTGCTGAACAACAATTATCTACATAAAGCTGTTGCAACAATACAAGTAATTTGCCATTGCTACTTAGGAAACATTCTTCATCTTCCCAATCTAGCCCCACAGCCTTGTTATTTTGTGGTGTTTTTCCATCAAAGGATTAAGTAAATCTAATACTGCTTAGCTTTTTGATGTCAGTTAAGGTCAGCCATATGCTGTCACCTCTTTGGGTATTGGGTTTTTAAAATGTCTTCAATCTTATGTATATAAGTAGTAGTAGTGGCCGCCTGTGGCCTGGAAGGAAGATGGATGTTTCTGACTTTCTGGAAGAAAGTTCCTGGAAGTTAGAACAATTAATCAGTGGAACGGCAGAACAATTAATCAGTGGAATGGCATGCCTCCAGGAGTTGTGGATGCTTCAACACCGGAAGTTTTTAAGAAAGTTGGATAACAATTTGTTTGAAATGGTATAGTGTTTGTTGCCTAAGCAGGGGTTAGAGTAAAAGACCTCCAAGGTTTCTTCCACCTCTGTATTCTATTCTGTTATGTTTGACTGTTAATTATGGTCTTTGACTATATAGGATTTTTTTTGTTAAATAACTGAAATTTACTGGAATAATTTAAATGCACAAATATTACAGTTTTCTCTGCTGTGTTATATTTAACTGAATAAAAGGTAAAATGATGTTGCTTTTTCACATTGTTTTTAATTTTGTTTAAGTTTTAGTTTTACTACTTATAAGGCTAGAAATACATGAGAATAATCATTTATTTTTCTTAATTCATAGGATTTGAAAAATATTTTAAAAACATGGACAGCCATAAATAGTAAGTATGTTGTGTGCTTGTGTGTATGCATATATGTATAAATAGTCCTGAATTTATAACTAATCACTTAACAATAATTCAGAACAGATGCTTTATGATCTATAAAGCACTTTTGGCTATTGTAAAACATTGTCCCACTATCCCATTATTCTTGCAATCATTCTCCCTGGTGTGATGGGAGAGGGCCTGGGTCTCTCACTGTAGCCAGGAGGCCCACACCCTGATGCTCCATTTAACAACCTGCACGGTTACTTAGCTATAACTGTTCATTGTTCAAAGTAGCCACAGAGCATCTGATTTAACTACTCTATAACTAAGATTCTGGGTGCAGTTGTTGTCATAAGTGAAGGACAACTAGTAATTTTGTGCTACCAGCAAAGTTGAGGCTTTACTGAAATCTAATTTATATTTCAAGTAGAATCAGTGTTTGACAGGGCAGACATTGGAAGAGTAATAGTACATATCTTTTGCTTTCTAGCAGTTATTCAAGGGAATTTTATGATCGATATGCTCAAGGCCAAGACAAATCTGTGGTAAATAAAATGCAGCAGAAATATTGGAAAACAAAACAAACCCTTATCAAAGTCACTGGAAAAAAAGAGGATGAGCATGTAGTGGCCTCAGATGCAGATCTGGATGCTAAACTGGAAGTATGTAAGACCTTAATGTTCCAAGTACCTTTCAGTTCTAGTTTTCCTTTTGCAGTTACCTTTTTTCACCCTCTTCTCTTATACCTGCATTTACTGATGGAAAGAAAATATCAACAGTTATACAAGAGCAGACTACACAGAGGGGGGCCTTTATTTTAATTTTCTCCTCCCGCAAATGTGCCAATATTAATGCTTTTTCTTTCAAAAGCAGGTAAAAACAACTGTTTTAAAGTGTATTGAGATACACCATAGTACAGATATATCTGGTGTGTAGTAGTTATTGGGGTTATTCAGTTATTGAGCTTTTGAAACATAAAGTACAATTAATTGGCTTTTTAAAAAATACTGGTAATTTTATTTAGTTCCAGTTTGAGAATGACATTTTAAATATTTATCAACCATATATATTACTTTCATCATTAAAGTAACTTTAGTGTGTTATCGGTGAAGTAACTTTGCATTTAGCACATGGCTTTAGAAATATCTGTTAAAAACTTTGCTGTCTTATTCACTGTACAGAATGGCCTCTAAATAAGTTGTAAACATAGCTGTACTTCAGTAATAGAAGGCATGTCATTCAGTAAAGTTTCAAAGTTGTCTGACAAAAAAAAACATTTTCTGATGATTACTGTTCTGTAATTGATATGAGGTTTTTTGTAATATTTTTTTTTATTTTTTCATTTTAAAAACATCTTTCAGTGAACAATGTGGTTCCAAGTTTTAACACTTCAATACAAACATGATCTTAACATATCTTAACAATCTTTCACATTCAATTCTATATCATATCATTACTTCCATTTTCCCATAAATTTTCTCCAATATTTTTATTTTCTTTACACTTATTAAATCCATTTTCAATTTATATCTTAACTTAATTCCTTTTTCTTTGAATATTCTCATCTTGTTTTATAATCGAATATTCTCATCTTGTTTTATAATCTAACATTCTTATTTTTTATTCTAGATTCATTATACCTTTAAGCTTTTATCTGTCACATTTGCAATTTTATCACATGCTTTTGTTTCATTATTCACTAAATTTCATCTTAAATCTAATAATTCCAATAGTTTCCCCCTTTAATTACCAATTAGAGTGTGCCACCCTTTGTCTTATACATCCCTTAATTTGTTCCTCTTTAACATGTTTAAAAATTTATCATAATATAATCACTTTATAATTATCACATTCTGGTTTAATAACAATAATCTCTTAACTACTATATATCACATATACATATATATATTGAGCTAGATTCCTTGAGGTATTCTTTCCCGCAATTACTTTCTAAATCATTTATTGCTTCAAATATATTAATCTATTCAATTAATTATAGAAACTGACATTCATCTTTTCATTAGAATCCTCATCATTTTAACTGTATTCTTTGTTTTATTAAGTATAATTCATCTTATCATAACTTCCAATTTTCACATTTATTTCTTTTTTTTTTTTAAATAAACTTTATTAATTTTACTTTTTTTAAAAAAAGACAACAACACAGCTATAAATTATATACAACAAAGAGACGCACCAGTCTTGGCGTAAGCCAAGAGGGAAAGAAAGGAAAGTTTGAGAGAGGAAAGAGGGAAAGGGAAGAGAAGGGGGGAAAAGTGGGGAAAACAAAGGTAGGAAAGACAATTATAATAAAACCATATTTTGTGACTGTCAGTAAGGTCTTTTCTTCTTCAAAGCTATCGTCGGCCTTAGTCTTCTTAGCGGTGAACTATCTTTGATTAAGCCAAATATACAAAGGATTCCAATTGCTAGAATAAATTGAAGATTCTTTATTTTTTAATGCTTGGGTTAGATTGTCCATTTCTGCACATTGTAAAATTTTCTGAATGACCATAAGTTCAGTGGGGATGGAAGATAGTTTCCAGCACTGGGCAAATGCCAGTCTGGCCGCGGTTAAGATATGGATTGTAATATACTTTGATTTTTTGGATATTCGTTTATCAAAAATTCCTAGAAGGAAGGACTCCGGTTTGTACTCAATCTGTTCCATGGTTATTTCCTCTAGCCAGTGCCTAATTTTTTGCCAGTACTTCTGGGTTTCCTTGCATGACCACCACATGTGGAAGAAGGTACCTTCTGTGTTTTGACATTTCCAACACTTGGGGCTCGTGTTGGGGTGCATCTTGGCCAATCTCGAAGGAGGCAGGTGCCATCTATAAAACATTTTATATAAGTTTTCTTTATAAGCTGCTGATTTCGTGATCTTAATGTTCCTGTTCCAGACCTTTTCCCATTCTGCTAGGGTAATGCTCCGACCCACATTTCTGCTCCACGCAATCATATTTCAATTTTCACATTTATTTCAATTATATCCATGTATAGCATGTAACAATATAATCCATGTAACAATAGTCCTTTAAAAAGAAGCCAAGTAAAAAAAATAAATCAGCTCCATTAGCTTTTAAAAACTACATTCTTATGCATCACAACACCTTACCTTACAGAATCCCTTTTCTTTAATCTTTATCTACCCATTATCTCTATGTCTCCTAACTAAACAATTTCTTTTCATTTTTGTTTGGTTTCCATATCTCCTTATTTTCTGGTTCTTTCTCTATTACCTCTTTTTCCTTCATTTTTTCCCTCCATTTCTTACTCCGGTTTTTAATCCCCCTTCCTCTTTAAAACTTTCTTATATAATTCCCTTTTCTGCTGTTACCTTTTTCTTTGTTTGGCTTTCCAGACATTTCCCTTTTTAATTATCTCCTCAAACCTCCAAGTTTTAATTTCCATTCTTTTTTCCCTTCATTTTAATGTTTGTTATTCCATTTGTTCGTTAAAGCTGGTTTCTTTTTAAATCAACTCCTCCCCTTTTGGCACTCCTTGTTGTTCTTTGTTCTCCAGAATCGCCATTTCTATTAATTGTAAGATAATACAGTATGATTCATTTCTTTCATGTAATATTTCCTTTATGTTTCTTAGTTCCATTTTTAATCCCAAGAAAAGTTCTGCCATTTTTATACACTTCCTTTAGATTTTCTTTATCCCTTTCTTTAATATTTAAGTCCAAACCAATTGTCCAGTAATTTAATTCGACCAGCGTCTTTGTTTATTTCCAATGATCAGCTTCTGTTAATTCCTCTTTTAAGTTTTTTCCAAAGTCATCAAATAATTCAATACCTATAAGTTTACATTTGTGCCAAAATCACCAAACAATCCCAAGGTAATTTCTTCACATTTCTTTCTTTTATCTTAATATTCTATGTTTTCACTTTTCAATGTTTCTATTTTATTGCAACAAAGTTTCTCTTATTTTGTATCATCCAATTTTGAAAGAACCAAGTACTTTTTTAAAGAGGTCACTATAATTTCCTTTACCATTAGGTGGTACTCTCTATTACATCCTCTCTTTCCACTTTTTCTCCCTTTGTTTAAGGCTTTTAAGTTTCAGTAGTTCAATAAGTCCAAGTTATTAATTATTTCTTTTTGAGCACATTCAAGTTCATTATCTAGTTATGCCTATTTAGTGCCAAAATCATATGTTTATCCAAAGTTTCTTCTAGCCTCCTCCTTCAATTTAGCTCCTATAAAAATTCAAATCCTCTTACATTTATTTCCATCTTTCATTTCTCTCTCTCTGTCGCCGCTTTGAATTCTTCTTAAGAAATTCTTTATACCTTGATTCCAGGGTATCTTTATGTCTCCACACTGTCTGCTTCTTCACTGCTACAGCACAAACTTATTTCCTGGGTAGCTTCCCATCTTCAGGGCAGCCATTAAAGACTGCCACTACTGCCTGTCTTCAAGCAGAGTATACATAGCCAGGGAGGGAAGATGCGGCTTCCCTTGGCCCAACTGGCAATCTCCCCCTTTCACCATCCCTTCAGGGTGGATCCGGTTCCATTTGGGACCCTCTGACAAGTAGAGCACGGATCAAAGCAAGGCATGATCACGGTCTGCGATGTGCCTTTGACAAAAATGCCACTAGAAGTCCTGTAAAAATTGATATGTGATATTTGTGTGAATGAAGTCAAAATTTACCTGCAATAACAATTATACACATGTAAGCCTAAATATTGATATAAAAGCATATTATGAGTCCTTTGTTCTGAAGTCATCCTTGTTAATAACTTACCAATTCAAAATCAAAGCCTCTGAGTTTAGGAAAACAAGATTGCATTGTCATGCTACAAAGTAGTTTTTTTGTCACTTTGATCTCAGCATAAGAATTCCAACAATGGGAAAAAAGATATAATCAGACTAGGGTAACTTTAAGGATCCTTTAATGTAATTCTACAGGATTTTGCAAATATATCTTCAGTAATGTGCAATGTTTCCAGATAGAACTCTAATTCAGCCATAAACCTCATAATTTACCTTTTAAAAGTGTAGTACTAAATTCAGTTCCCATAATCTCCATTTAATAGGACCTTTAGCAATATGTGAAATGAGCTTCATCACTCAAATTAGTTGACAGTGGGATAGATAATTCAGAAGATTGACAGTAACTTAATGGGTTAGGTAGTGGAAGGGGGAGCAACAAAGGATGTTTGTTGCTTTTCTGAAGAGTTTTTGAGAGAGAGCTAGTTAGTCATTAACTTAAACTATATGCCAAAGATTTCATCTAGCACATGTTCTTAACAATCCTCTGCAGAATTTTTCCTTAGATTATTCCCAAGATAGCATGTATTCCTTTGTATATTTACACATATGGCTAAACCATAACATGGTTTGTTTGCTTTTAAAATATTGCATGAAGCTAGTCATAATTGTTTTTTTAAAAAATGATGGACAGATCTGGTTTACTTGTTTTAACTCTCATATGCCATCTAGCGTCACTTTTAGAAAATGGGCAAACATATAAATTAAATAGCTAAAAACAGGTACATTTATTCATATGTTAACTGAGTTCAGTACTACTTACTAAACATAGATCTCAGAAATGCAAGTAGTTCTTATGACCACAATTCTGAACCCAGAATTCAACAGAAAAGGCCTTGGGAGGTCCAGCATAAACCTGCCTATCTAGAGGAAGATTGCCTTTCTAACTGAGCCTTGTATTGGCTGGGTGCACTTATTAACAGCCACAGTGAAAGAAAAGATAAGTGAAATCAGGCCTTGTGGGGCAGGAAAAAGGTCAGACCTCTCAGGAGTGATTGGGGAGGGAGAGAGGAAAGAGGCCCACACATCTCTGGGTCTAGCCCAGAGCTGAAGTTTTTCAGATCTGATGAGAGACAGGGAGAAACGCAGGCCTCTTTGAAGTGGCAGGGGGCGGGAGCAGAAAAGACCTGCATATCTCTTGGCCTAGCTGGCTGTGGATTTCAGGACTGAGGCAAATTTCCACATGCCAGTGGACTTAGCCAGCCACAGTTTCCCTTCCAATGATGGGGGATAGAATTGTAGCTGTCATGAGGGCAGGCCCAAATTTTGATCACGTGACTCTGAGAGGTGCTGCAACAGTCAGAACTTCAGGCAAGAGCCATAAGTTCCTTCATTCAACACTATCATAATTTTTATGGTTGCTGACTGACTGAATTAAAAGTCAAGGACACTATTTGAATAACCTGATGGTCATTTGATTTCATTTTGATACTTTGAATAAAAGCACAAAATACTTTCTCTTTACACAGTGCAGATCTTATGCACAATTGAAGTTAATCTGTATTCTCAATTTTCAAGCTAGATGGAAAAGAATATCTAATTTGCTTTTCCTGTTAATTTAACTAACAGGAAAATATAATGGATGTTTGAATTCATTCATTATGGGTTCCCATTTCAAATTCTGGATATTAAAAATCCTAACTAAGAATAGTTAATAGTAAAACCAATTACATAGACAGAGGTCAATTTTCATATGCTGAATGTATACAAAAGGCTAAAGAGCCATCCAAGAGATAATTTAATTTGGATATTTTTCACTGAACAGAGGTTTGGATTTAATTATTCCTGCCAATTATATGACTCTGTGAAAACAAAGTTCAACCCCCAAGTATAAAGGCAGATTTCACATATTAATCATTGATCACTTAGTTATTGAAAATATATAATTTAGTAAAACCTTGATTTAATGAACACAGAGAAAAGAGGGGTGGTTAAAGTGAAATATCTGTTAAATTCAGATGGGGCCTTTTGAGTTCATCCATTTGCAGAAATATTGCTCTCATGTTGGCTCTATAAACCAGATCTGAAGCATACAATATTTGCTGCTTTTATAGTTTCAAAAATAGAATTTTGTAGAATTAAACAAATGTATATCTAAATTTATATGCCAGAGGAAAAAATGCAGAGGTAATTTGATTTTTTATGTAAAATAATCCTAAAAAGCTTCTTTAGGAACTTTCACATTTTTACAAGCTATATTGTATAAATTTCATTGTTCCTTTTCCCCCAGTTTTCTTGTGGCCTTTAATTTGGTGCAACAAGAATTGCTTACCTCTGAGTTAGGCAACAATGACCCACCACTCCCCCCTTTTTTTTTGCTAAATAAGTTTTCATTATGTCTTATTAAAATTTTGCTATGGGAAAATTTAAGACCCAAAATTTTAGATGTAGGTAATATAAAAACTCTTTTGTGTAGCTTGTGTTAAAACATTTATTTACCTGTCCTTGAAATTTTGCTATCCTGTGAATGATAAAATAACTTAATGGATTTTTGTTGATTTAAGATTTTAATCTCTATTGCAAAAGATAAATGTTTTCAAAAGAGAATATAGCTAAAAGAAGTTTTTTCATTGTCCTATTAGATAAAATGAGCCTAAATACATCTGGTTTCATTATACTATCATACATACTATAATGTTTATCTAAGATCTATGTGTTTTATTCTATTATTGCAAAATATTAATTCATAGTCATAATGCAAGGAAAGCCCATGATGTTTGAAAAGTGCTTGTTTAAATGCTGCATTAAGGAAAATGCCTTGTTTGTCTCTATTCTTTCAGAGTATTTTATTTACGTTGCATTTTATATTTATTTTTAGCTATTCCATTCAATTCAGAGAACTTGTATGGATTTACTTAAAGCAATTGAACATTATCAAAAAAGGATTTGTTGTGAGTATCAAGTATACTCCTTTTTCAGTTTAGTGCAAATTCTGTGCATGTTCAGTAAAAATATATCCTACTATGTTTAGTTAACTATGCTTCCACATATATATGTAGTCATTATAATAACAACTGAAGATAGTACTGAAGCAATCTTCAATATTTACCAAGAGTTTAAATTGGCATTGAAACTACAAACCCAGATTTTAAAATTAACCATATTCAATATATCAGAGTATGAATAATGAACTGTCATTTCACATGGCTCAAGAAGTTGAAGAGGATACTGAAACAACCAAAGGAAATTCTAAGTATTGTGGCCAGACCACAGCCATCTCCTTTATCTGGTCCCAACAAGTTTATATGTTTGTTCCACCAAAAACAGATAGTTCTGTTGTTCTAGATCAGTGGTCGCCAACCGGTGGGCCACAGCCCACTGGTGGGCCATGAGAAAATTTTAACGGGCCATAGAGAAATCTCACCCCCAGAGCACCCCCACAAAGCAATTCAGGCTGTGCAGAAACACAAGACTGCGCCGCCCACATGGCCCGCAGGAACCCTCCCCACCCACTCACTCCTTACCCAGTAAACTTGCCTGCTAAATTGCTATTTTTCCTTTTTCCAACCATCATCTGTTCTGCTGTGCCAGGAGATTTAGTTTAGCTAGAAAGCAGGAAATGGTTGGATTTCTTGCTTTCTAGCTAGTCTTTAGATCTTCGGCTCAGTACAGCCAAACCTCCCTTAGGACTGAAGGTTTGCTTGCAAGCAAATTCAGTGCAGACTCACGACAAGCAAACTTGAGAGACTGAGTTAGCCAATGGCAGATAGATAGATCACTGAATGATTCTGTGAGCAAGTCAATCTGCCTGCCTGCTTTGCCTGATTTTGGGTAAAAGTTGCTCTTTTTTTAAATAAAAAATTCAATATTTATATAAATATTTATAATATTTACATACAAGCCATGCCCAGCCAGTCACATGACCACCAAGCCACACCCACAAATTAGGCCACACCCACAGAACCGGTTAGTGGACCCTGGGATCTAAAATTATGAGTTTGGTGGTCCCTGAGGTCCAAAAGGTTGGCAACCCCTGTTCTAGATAAAGGTCATTTAACTATTCTTATTCTTGTAAGAACAATATCAATATAATTTTTACAGCAAGAGTGGGGAAATGGGAGGTAAGATTGGCAAATCTGACTTTTTAATAAGTACATAAGATGCATGAAGGTTAATTAGGAATTGTACAGATATGTGCAGAGCATTTCTTGCAACATGTTCTTTCTAAAACAGATGGAAATAAATCACATTCCCCTATATCTAATCACTTTAGTTTTTCATTTTCTTTAGTTCTGTCTCAGGAAGAAAATGAATTGGGAAAATTTCTCCGATCTCAGGGTTCTCAGGATAAAACAAGAGCAGGCAAGATGATGCAAGCTACCGGAAAGGCACTCTGTTTTTCTTCTCAGCAAAGGTATGCTTGGCCAGATGGGCTTCTCTTATTATTCATATTTCATGTATGAATAGACCATTAACTCTGATTTCTACTCTTTGTTTTCTAGCAGTCCATTTTAAAAGAAACATGAAGTGACTTAGATCACTTTATCAACAAAATTCTTGTTTGTATTTCTGATTTAATTTTCTCTTTGATTTTTCTGTTCTTTGCATTGTTCTTATATTTATATCATTTCCTTTAATGCTTTTTAAATTTTTTACTCAATAGCTCTAAGAGGCTAAATGGCATTACAATTTCATAAATTCTTAACTAACAAAGAAGAAATCATAGAGGGAGTTGAAGTTGCAAGAACTATAATGAGAGTGATCACGTCATATTGGAATTTAATATAATGCAGTGGAACATAATTAAGCTAGTGTCTTAGATTTTAAAAGAGCTGATTTCCGCAAACTCAGAAAGGATGAAAATGAGTGAAAATCTTGAAGGCGAAAACAATTTAAGAACAACTCAAGCTTGGGAAACTTTGAAAAATATGATTATAAAAGTCCAGTCTAGCACACTACTACCAAAAAAGAAAAATTCCAAGAAGAAACCAGCATGGTTGCATAAAGAACTGTAAGACGAAAAGAATAAGTCAGGGAAGCTAAGGGTGAGAATGAACTAAGACTTGCAACAAATGTCAAAAATATTTTTAAAGGTTTCTTTCAACATGTAAAAAACAAAAAAGACAAGGAAACAATTGTTCCACTAACGGGAGAAGATGGCAAAGAAGTGACATGCAGCAGGGAGAACGCAGAGCTGTTTAATTCATTCTTTGCATCTGTCTTCATGCAGAAAGAAAAAATAGCCCAACCTACCCCCCCCCACCAAAAAAAAAGAACCAGAGAACAACAGAAAATGGTAAAAGAACACCTGCCTATGCTAGATAGTTTAAATCAGCAGGACCAGATGGATTAGATCCCAAAATTTTGAAGGATCTGGCAGACCTTATTTCACAACCATTTAATTATATCTTTCAAAGATCCTGGAGCACTAGAGAATTATCAGAGAACTGGAAAAGAGATGATGGGATAACCATCTTCAAAATAGGATGGAGGAAACAGATCCAGGACTACAGGCCAATCAGCCCAATATCAATATCTGGAGAGATCTTGGAAAAGGTAATCAAACAACAGATCTGATTACTTACATCTAAAAGCAAGCAAAGTTATAACGAGAAGCCAACATGGGTTTATTAAAAATAGTTTGTCTAGCAAAATGCTGTGGACATAGTATATTTGGATTTCGGTAAAGTATTTGACAAAGTAGACCCCAATCTATTTCTTGGTAAATTAAAGAAAATGTGGGATAGACAGCAACACCATCCAATGGATTCATAACTGGCTGACAAACTATATTTAACATTTTGTCATTAATGGAAATATTTACATGGAGGGCAGCAAGCAGTAGGCTACCCCAAATTGAAGAAAACTGGGCCTTCTGTCTTAGGTCCAGTACTCTTCAATATCTTCATAAATAATTTAGATGAGGGAATAGAAAGGAAACTCATCAAATTTGCAGATAACACCAAGCTGACAGGATAGCGCAATATCCCAGATGAATCAAGAATCCAGAAGGATCTCAACAGACTGAATACTAGGCCCTATCTAATGAAATGAAATTCAACAGAAAGAAAAGTAAAGTTTACATTTAGGCAAGAAAACCAAACATACATGTACAGAATATGTGAAATTTGGATCAATATTAGTAACTGTGAGAGGCATCTTGGAGTCTAGTGGACAATCACTTAAATATGGGCCAGCAATGTTCTGCAGCCACCAAAAAAACCAATGCAATCCTAGGCTACATTAACAGAGGGACAGAATCAAGATTATGTGAAGTGTTGGTATCACTTTGTAATGCCTTAGTAAGCCCTACTTGGAATATTGCATCCAGTTTTGGTCACCACAATATAAAAAGATGTTGAGACTCTGGAAAGAGTGCAAAGGAGAACAAGGAAGATGGTTAGGGGATTGGAGGCTAAAACATACGAAAAACGATTGCAGGAATTGGTATGTCTAGTCTAGTGAAAAGAAGAACTAGGGATGACATGATAACAGTGTTCCAGTATTTGAGGGGCCGCCACAAAGAAGTTGGGGGTCAACCTATTTTTAAAGCACCAGAGGCAAGACAAGAAGCAATGGATGGAAACATATCAAGGAAAGAAGCAAACTAAAACTAAGAAGAAATTTTCTGATAGTGAGAACAGTTAACAAGTGGAATGGCTTGCCATCAGAAGTTGTGCTCTATTACTAGAGGTTTTTAAGAAGAGATTGGATACCTATTTGTCTAAAATGATATAGGGTTTCCAGCTTGAGCAAGGGTTTGTATTAGAAGAGTTCCAAGCTCCCCAATTTTATACTGTTATCATTAACCTACTAGATAAATTCAATGATATATTCACTGGTATCCTAAATGCTATATTTATTATCCATCTATTACTTAACTGGAAATCAATCTCAATTTTGAAATAGGTAGAAATGTCACTATACTGTAATCTCCCATTTTCTGTCCTGATGAAAGAAAGGGTCAGCTTAAAAATTGTAATGATTAATGAAATAATAGAGATGGTTAATACAATTTATTAAAAATAACATTTAAATAATATTAATAAAATGATTACAAAAATATTCTTGTAGCACAAAAGACTCAAACCAGTTTGATATTTCTGTTAATACTTTAATTGAAATGCTTTAAAACTACCCATATTAAGGAAAATCTACTGTTTACAAATACAGGTAGTCCTCAACTTATAACAGTTAATTTGGTGACCAGAAAACTTAAAACAGTGCTGAAAAAGATGACTTATGACCTTTTTTCATGCTTATGACTGCTGCAGCATCTCCATGGTCACATGATCAAAATTCAGATGCCTGGCAATTGATTCATATTTATGACAATTGTAGTGTCCCTGAGTCATCTAATCACCTTTTCTGACCTCCTAATAAGCAAAATCAATGGGAAAGCAAGATTAATTTAACAATGTGTTACCAATACTAACTTAACAATTGCAGTGATTCGCTTAACAAATTGGCAAGAAAGGTAAAATAAATTGGACAAAATTCACTTAGCAACAGAAATGTCTGTTGTAGTCATGTCAAGGACTACCTGTAGCAATTGTGTGTTCACTTAGTCAATACTACTTACGTCTGATTTATATTGTTTAGAGAAAATCCATAGTATATTCATTCTAGAGCCAAAATACTTTAAAGATGGTATTTTATTCGCTGCAAATAAAGAATGAAAGAAACGTGTTGTGTTTGGCAGTTTACCTTTCAAGGTCAATTTTTAAGAATTCTGAGATTGAACAATCAGAAACTCACTTTTAATGTACTTTTCAATCTTTTATAATTAGTGTGTTACAATTAAATGTACTTAATTAAAGGCAGCAACTCTGAAAGCATTGCAAGTAGTTGTAGGATTGTGTTTTTATTGTGAAAATTCTATTTTCTATACTGTGTTTTGAAATGAGACTTGAAGATCTACAGCTGTTCTAATTACCTTGAATATGTTTCTTATATTAAAAATATAGTTCTCATATTTTATGAGCTTGGTAATTAACTTCAAAAAAATAATTCTGAGACAGCTGTCCTAAGCTCACTTGTGTATCTTTTTGTTACAGACTGGCATTGCGCACTCCTTTGTGCAGACTGTACCAAGAAGTGGAGACATTTAGATACAGAGCTATTTCTGATACATGGTTGACAGTCAACCGAATGGAACAATGTCGGACTGAATACCGAGGAGCTCTGTTATGGATGAAAGATGTTTCTCAAGAACTGGATCCTGATCTTTATAAGCAGATGGAAAAATTTAGGAAGGTATGAAGTTTCCACAATTTACTAAATAATAGTCAATGATAATGGATTTAATTTTTCTGAGAAAGGTATAATTCTACTTATTATTTTCTATGTATCAGAACAGTTCTGGCTAAGAATATATTTTTCCTTGCTAAAAGGTTTGACAACAAATATATTGTTATACCTACTTGAATTATATACAACGTGTATGTTTGTGTAAATATATTATTATCTCATTAATAGGTATCTATGTAATGATGCTAGATCAGCTACTTGGTTATTTAAAGGAAAGGATGATATAAATATTTTAACTAGATTCTATCAAGATAATAAAAATTACCAGTGTTGCCTACATGTATAAATTGGCCATTTCTAAAGATAGTTTTTCAGGTTCTACCAACCGCTCAGTTATTGAAGACATGCATAGATAATTTTAATGAAGGATGATCATATTTCATTATAAATTTGTTGTACTGTCAGACAGATGTTCAGATTGAATTTGACATTTTTATCTGCTTATTAAGTCCTTCCTAAGTACCTGGAATAGGCAGATGTGGATGTTTGATATAGAGAGGTTTTTACATTAGTTTCTTTTTCTATTCTATTTAATTCAATAACTTCTTTTTTAACAAGTAACAATCCAGTGAAGAATTCTATGTTTTTAAGAATCTGTTTTTGTGGTCTTTAGCAGTGAAAAAGTAACAATTGTGCCACTTTATATTCAAGATATCTATCAGACAGTTCACCATAGTTTGCTTTATGGAAAGTTAAAATGATTGGAAAGCATGCAATATTCTTTTCAGAAACTAGGGAAGTCTTGGTCTTGGAATGTTGATAAACATTTATGCTCATATTGCATAATGGTGGGGGAAGGCCTGAGTGGTCCAAAGTAGGCATCTCTGAGGTACCCCATGTGCATTTAATGACCCGTGCATTCATATAAAGCCAGGGTGGTTTTCACTTAATACTTAAGTAGTTTCACTTAACATACCCCTGACATACAATGTGACCATAATGGGCAGGTTCCATTGCTATCATATGTGGACAACTATATTGAACACCTGTGTTCAAATGTTTGATTAAATATTTATTGGTGAAAACATTCAAGTTTGTAATTATATAAGTTAAATATAGAATATTTCTATAATAGAAATATTATATAAGTTAAATATAGAATATTTCTATAATAGATTTATGATGCTTTTTTGTGAGATCTTTTGACAGATCAATACTGAAAATATTAGGAAGTGTATATTTAATTATATAATGTAGATAATAATACAAGAAATGAAGCAATTCTAAATGCTGCCACTGTATGGTAGTATTTTACTGACTACAATATAAATTGAGGATCTTTTTAAATCCAAGAAACAGATGTATAAACCTTTTTTATCAAACAAAGGAAAACATCTGTAAATTTATATAGCACTGTCTAAAATTGATTAACCATGTTGAAATTATCTTTATGATATGATGGGGATATAATGAATATGTGACAGTAAGTAGAATTTGTATAGTATTATATTTATAGAACATTTTAGTACTGGTGTCTTTGTGACCATTTCATTTTTTTAATATTATTGTAAATATTTATTATATTTAGGACATTTAGTAATATAAAGGCTAGCTAGTATACCCAAATTTGTTACACAAATTATTGTAAATCTGTGACATAATCTAACATAGAAAGGTGGATCTAGATTTAAACATATTTAACTATATGCTGAGAAATTATTATTTATGAATGAGGTTCTGGATATGAAATTATTGTTTACAAATGAATATCTGAATGCAGTGACACATATGCATTTATCATAAGCTATATAAAGATTAATAATTATCTACTGAAAAATGTTTTGGAACTTGTAAGTCAGCATTAGAATTTTCATGGAATGAGACTTTTTTTTTTTTGAGAAGTGCTATTTACTTTATGTTCGGTACTCCATATATTCCACAGTCCAAGTATTATGTTAGAAACATTTTATCTCCAGTTTGTTATCTATTAATAAAAGTCAGGATTAAGAATTGCTATAGTGGTGAATATCTGTAGCTCAGGTATAGGATAAGGGTGGAAGTTCATTCTCTGAGCTTCTGGGTTGGTTTCCGAACATTTCATTATCTTTATGTAATTGAAAATCAATATCCATTGACACCAGCTGGCAGTCAGTCGCCATGATCCCAAATCCCTAATCTCTACCCACCCAGACACCAAACAACGCCAATTCAATACAAGAATCATTGGTCGGGCTACCACCAGCCTTACTCGTGAGTTTATTGAAGACCAGACTCCACAAGTAATTCCATCAACAAACACATTGACCCACAAGCAGCCTGAAACCCTCCAGAATTCAGCACAAACACACAGCCAACCAGAGACAGCATTAACCCTCAACTAATAATAACCCATGCAAAAAAAAAAACCAGCATCACCGTCTAAGGACCCTCATCTGATGTGACATCCCCATCACAAGACTTATCACAAGATCCTCGCCTGACATGATCCATATCTGACCCATCACAAAATCTTCAGTAGATATGACCTTCACCTGATGTGTCCCATCAGAAGACCCACTGATCACACAATGTTACCTACCTAGCCTGGTAACAAATAGTTCTGAAACCTACCCACAAACTCAGAGAAGGAACCTCCATCATCAGATTAAGAATTCTCAGCTTTTATCCTGTACAATTTTTTTATTTGAAGTTTAAGTTGATGATGAGCATTTCTATGCCAATGCAATTTTTACTGTTAAGCTTTTTGGAAAATTGAAAAATAGATATTATTTATTTTGTACATTTGGATATGTGAGGAAAGGAAGTTGCATATAGGTAATCAAATATTTTCACCTTTTGGGTTGTAGCTGAATGGTGGAAAATACTTAAAGAGCCTCTGCTTTCCTTGTCTACATTGTGTCAGATTAGGATAAATACCAAAAAGGTATAATTTATTCTTTTGTCTATTTGTTCTCAGTAGTAATACAAGTAGTCCTCGACTTATGATCACAATTGAGCCCAACATTTATCTTGCTAAGTGAGAAATTTGTTAAATGAGTTTTGCCCCATTTTATCACTTTTCTTGCCCTTTTTATCAACTGAATCACTGCAGTTGTTAAATTAGTAACGTTGTTAAGTGAATCTGGTTTCCCCATTGACTTTGCTTGTCAGAAGGTTGCAAAAGGTGATCCCAGGACCCCGGGGCACTATGACCATCATATATGTCAGTCAATTGTCAAGCATCCAATCACATGATCATAGGGAAATTGCAAGGGTCATAAGTATGAAAAACAGTCATTAAGTCACTTTTTTCAATGCCCTTGTAACTTTGAAGTCACTAAATGAACTGTTGTAAGTTGAGGATCGCCTATATATCATATGTAGTACATTTTAATGATCTTTTTGTTGTTCTTAGAGATGTGTCTATATGTTCCCTGCTTATTCTCTTTTTTGACACAAAGGATATCTACTTCTGAATGTAACAACATTTGGCCAATAAATATATAAGTGTTACTGAACAGGGAGCATTCAGGTGATTAGAATTTGTAATTAACTAGAAAATCTAGCATCTTTATTTTGGAAAATACGTTGTGCATGTCTGTTTTTATGTATATCAGTGGGTAAAATTCTTTGCTCTGTTTGTTCCTGATTTTACTTACCATCATCAATTTAGATTATGCTACCTGTCAGTTGAGTAAAGCTGGTCGATGGAAATTTGTTGTTTGAATCGAGCTGCCATCAGCTATGTTTACAGAGTAAAAATGAAAGTCTTAAGCTGTTTTTTTTTTTATATTTGTGAAATATACTTTTTTCTTTCCTGTATCTTTCAGGCAGCCATTTTGTTAATAAGCTGATGAAATGTTTGAGTGGTGTCCTAGTATACATTTCACATTAATAACAAGACCCAAAACTATTGTTCTATTGTTCTGTGCGAGTATTAAACTAATATTTGACATATATTTCATCATCCTAACAATTTCAATACCATCATACTTGAGATTGTGAAGATAAAATTGGGAGCACTGCATAATAGTTTTTTATGCTGCTTTATTATTTATGTATATTTATTATTTATGTATTATTTATGTATATTGAACTATTGCTAGTTTTGATACTACTACTCATAAAAATCTAAAGATTATTCTTGAAGATTATGTAGGATAGAAAAGGCTTGGTGAAAAAATATCTCAGGTGCTGCCAGAAGGATGAATATTGATGAGGTGTGGGCCTTTGGAGTCTTCTGTAATACTTCATCATGCCATGTATTAGAATAAGCAGAATTATTAAAATATATGCAAACCTGCAAAATATATGCATGCTATTATTTCAGTACAAAAAAATTAATGTCCTCAGTTTTGACCATCACAGCATCATTGTTTAACAATAATTTTTCAGTCCCAGCCGTGGTTATAAGTTGAGGACCACCAATATTCCCTTAATGCCTTAAATAAAATTCACAGTATAGAGCAATTTTAAATTGCTTAATTTGGTAGCAATGAGAAGTTCCAGAAATATGTCTATGTAAAAGGTCTTCCTTGCCATAAGGTCACATGCTATTTAGAGATAATGTAGTCTTTGTTATAGAGAGGAAAGAACTCTCACCCCTAGTCAGGTAATGATTTCTACACTGGTTTGCATTGCCTGAATTGAGAGATTCAGAGTCAAAGAAGCTTCTTGAATGAGAAGCGAAACGTCTTCAAAAATCTTTGGGACAACTATGAACTGGATGACTGAGAATCTCCATAGACATTTTATATTAAAACCATTACTAAATTTAATTTTTGTTTACTTTGTTGTCATTGCACCTCGTACAATAAAATGTCATCTTCAGTGTACATTATAACTATAAAAATAAAACACATCCTTCACATTCTATACAATTGAATCGAAAACCCGATATTGCATTAATGCACTATACAGTAGAATATAGTTACTGCTCTGGGATATAAGCTGTTGTTGAGCCTATTTGTCCTTGTTTTTATTATTCTGCACCATCTGCCAGATGGTAATAATTCAAAAAAAGGGTGCCCAGGATGAGATGGGTCTTTAAAAGTGTTTTGAACTTTCTTAAGGCAGCAGGAGCTATAAAGCTCTTCCAAAGATTGGATTAGATTGGACAGTTATTGATTAATTCTCATTCAAAAAATAAGTTGGACAAAGTTTTAAGATGTGATAAAAATGTATAGTTAAACAAACCATCATCTTTATATTGAATGTCACAATGTTCATTATTTTTATTCTTATATAATAAACAGTGGCATTTTAAAATTAAAAAAAAGACATAAAGAATGATTGAGTCAATTTCTCCAGTATCCCTTTCCTGCATGTTTATATAGGAGTCTGTTACTTCTATATTCATAGCGCACTCTGGCGCCCGGTACTCAGCTCCATGACGTGGTTTCTAGAGCCTCAGCAGCTTTGGACACCTGCTACTGCGTGATACTTAATGCTAGTTCAACCTTCATCCATGACCTTATCATGGATGAGAGGGTTGACCAAGCCTTAGTTTCTGAAACCTGATTTGACATTGGGCAGGGGATGCATCTGCTCTTTCTGAAATATGTTTTTCCTGGTTTTGTATGTAACACTAGCTGTGATTTCTGGGCAGGATTAGTGGCTGTTGTTATTTCTGATGCTGCTCACTTCTCTTCTTGCAATGGAGTAACAACCCTACCTATGCCTCCGAACTCTGTGTCCTGTTTCTTTGGCAGTAGAGTTCCCCCAGAAGTATTGCTTTTCTATTTTTTGTTTGTAGATAGGTTTTTATTATTAGATTGCAAATTATTCAGCTTGGTTTTAAGAATGGAGAACAATCCTATTTGAAAGTTAGAGTAATATAATATTGGCACACTCTGTCTTTTTAAAATTGTTGCCATATCTTTCATTTACTTCCTATTTTGTTTTGTTTTACTATTGTTTTTCCACTGCAAGCAACCATAAATGATTCATTTAGAACTATCAAGTGGTTATTTTAAATTTGCTCATGAATCTGGAGCATTTGAGTAGGCTGGGGAAGGCTCTTTAATTAGATCTTTCATATCCAAAAAGCTACCCACACTGTCCATATTTGCCCTTTACTGTGAATTCTCTTGGGATTTTCTGAAATTAGGATACAGCCAGAGGTAGAAATTGTGGATTATAGAAAGGAGAACAATTGCAACATCTCCTTTTAAACTGATAACCTTTGAATTGGACCATAAGTTCTTAAAACTCTCAAGTATTTAAGCTGCAGTGTCTAATTCAACTTCTTGAAAGTAAAGTCTATTTAAATAAGGGCTGTTTGACATGTAACAGTGACAGTCTTAACACTCTGTTAAGAAGAAAATAGTATACCCCCAACAAATGTTTTTCTTTTTATTTTTTTCCATTCGTTTTTTTTTAATTTTCCCCTTTTCCCACTGTTCAATTCATCTATCATTCATTTTATCACATAATATTTTTGTTGATCCACTAACTATACACATTATAGATATTTTGTACAATCTGAAGAGAAGCATTTTCCAAATGATCATATTCCATATTTTTTACCGCAGTAGATGCTTGTTCTCTGATTGATGTTACCAAGATCACCAAAGAATCAGGAGTGTCTAAATGGAGAACATTTGAGAATCATTCAGTTTAGTTGAAAGTGGCTTATGTGAAAATGTTTCATTTGAAATATGTTCCTAATAGGTTGAGAGGAAAATAAATATATTTCAAACAAGTATCATGCCTCTTTCCTGTTTAGCTTCAGAAATGATGCAAATGGTCTGGAAAGAAACTACTTACATGCCTTGCCTTTTATAGATTTTTCGCCAGGCCATTTCTACCCAAGTAGCATATATATAACCAATGGGTCTACTGGTATTACAATTATGCATCTGTAGCAAGGAGGAAGTGAGTATCTGTGTCACACAAATATTAGTGCAAGCCTGCCATATCCTTCCAAATATATTTATACTCAGGGAGATATCAAAGTAAAAGACCTATGTTAGCTGCTTCAACTTAATGGGCTGAAATATGCATGTTAACAGAAGTAATCATAACGAAAAGAGAGAGATTAGTAATATATACTATATAAAACTATCCCAAACAGAACAAAGCAGCACTGAAAAGAAGTAACAGATCCCTCAAGGATGAAATCATGGGTTCTTTGCTGAATTGCTTGCCAAATTTATCTTACTGATTATTTTTCTCCCAGCAATTTTGAAGCCTTTGGTTTTAATTCTCACTTCCTCCCTGAGTTCTACTCCTTGCTTTTTACTGGAAAAATAACTTCACAGTGTTTATAGAAAAGAGTCCTCAGTTAGCCAGCAAGGCACATCCTTAAGAGTCATCAGATTCTTGAACATTCTGATTTTATCTCTTTTTACCAAGAATAAAGAAGTTAACAACTAAGTGAACTGTACACTGTTTCTCAACATGTTATATTTATTTCCTAATGTCCAGGAAACGTCTGTGAAAACTTTTTATTAAAGGATGTCATAAGTATATTAAAATTAAAATAGGTGTATAATATAAAATAATGATACAATTATGATTAATTAAATATAATTAATATAATTAAATGTTTTCTTGGAACCAAGGGAAGCATTCTGGATGATCTGATATTTTAGAATTTCTTATTCTTTCAAGTAACCTTTATATTGATAGGTTCAAGCACAAGTCCGTCATACAAAATTGAATTTTGACAAATTGAAAACTGATGTCTGTCAGAAAGTGGATCTTCTTGGAGCAAGTAGATGTAATCTTCTGTCTCACATCCTTACAACATACCAGGTATTAATAATGAAAGGATCTATAAAACTTAGGGGCTATTTTTAGGAATGGAATCATGTAGTTTTTATGTGACAGAGAGGTAAACTTTATGTAGTAAAATATCTGCAATTGGATCATTTTTGTTGTCCAACAAAAATGGAAATGTTAACTATTAGATGTCATTTGAAGAATTATATTTCTTTCCATTACAGACAACTCTTCTTCATTTTTGGGAAAAAACATCTCATACCATGGCAGCTATCCATGAAAGTTTCAAAGGTTATCAGCCATACCAATTCACTATGTTGAAGGTAAAGAAAAGTTGCCTAAGCTTATATAGTGCTATTTTAATAGTGTGATCTTAACAAATGAAACCTATTGTGAAATACAGTTGTTGTGGTGGTCACTATATATGCATTCTAAATTATGTTATTGCTTGCTTTTATAATTCTGCAATCAGACATTGGCTTACCGTAAAGCTGAGATATTATAAGGAAGTGGCACTAATTATTTTGTTCCTTTTTCTGTAAAAGTATGTACCATAATTTTCTAATAACAATTCACATTGATTTTTATAGTGGCATATTAGAAATATTGGTTATTATGTATGACAGTCATTGTATTACCAGTATAGGTAAGTATCAATCACTGGGAATCACCTCACATTGGCATTGCAAAGAAAGCAAATTTGGGCTCTAAGCTTCCTTTTGTCTCCCTCTTCCTACCATGGCAGTATTATCCTAACTGGAAAAGTAGAAGAAAATAAACTATTTTGGCAGCATTTATTTAATTATCTTTCATAGAACCTAGTTATTAATCTATCAAAATTCACAAATTAAACTGCTTCTCTTTCTTTGCTATGGAGTGTGAAGTCTCATTCTAACTTGGAATTTTGGTATGTAGCAAGACCATCATTTGTTCTGCCTGCTCACAGAAACGTTAGATGCTGCTTATTCGGTATGGAGGTTAACCTACATTCATTAGTAAAATGCAAAAAGAACAAAACAACAATAAATTAAAGAGATGTGATTGGTTAAGATTTTTATTAGGACCACAGTATACCGAGAGAGTAGGTTCATTTTTTCTTTCTAATCCCAGTATAACAACTAAATTGTAATTCCCCAATTGAAACATAACAGAAATTCTGCCTTTACATAAAGTAGGAAAAAATTATTGAAAGCTGTCATATGAAAAGAGCAATAAAGGAGGAATGTTTGCATATAACATACTTTTCTTCCCCCTACAGTAAATGAAGCAAGCAGATTGTCCAGTCCAGTCATATATAACATATATCATTCATTATAATTTTTTAAATGAAAAATATTCATTATAGGTTGAAAATTCAAACAGAAAAAGATCAGGAAGAAAAGGAGTTTCCTAAGTTCTTAACCACTACCATTTTTTCACAGGAATTGTATCTTGAATTTTTTTTCATATGGAAAAATTATGTTGTCAGACTTCATCGTTGCCATATGTATTTAAGTATTTAATTGCTACCTTTGGTCCTGGGAGGGGTGACACTTGGATGGGGTGGCAGTCATGGCCAGGAGGGACTTTGTGCAACTGCAGGTTGTGTACCAGTTATGCCCTTTCCTAGACGATCAGTCCCTACTCACAGTCACTCATGCCCTAGTCATTTCCCATCTTGATTATTGCTACATGGGGCTGCCCTTGAAGAGCATCCAGAAGCTCCAGTTGGTGCAAAATAGAGTAGCCTGCATGGTTTTATGCAGACCCCGGTGTGCACATGTTTCATCTCTCCTGCAGGAACTGCATTGGTTGCCGATTTGCTTTAGAGAGCAATTCAAGGTGCTGGTTGTCACCTTTAAAGCCCTTCATGGTTTTAGACCAAGTTATCTGAGGGAACATCTCTTGCCGGTCACATCTACCTGACCCATTAGAATGGAGAGGCAAGAAATATTGCGGGTCCCATCCCTAAGGGAGATACACTTGGTGGAACCCAGAAGAAGGGCCTTCTCTGAAGTGGTTCTCTCTCTCTGGAATATCATTCCCCAGAGATTAGAATGGTCCCTACTCTAGCACTCTTCTGGAAGGCACTGAAGACCTGGTTCTGCCAGCGGGCCTAGGGAACCCAGAGTAGGATGGAGCCCATCAAATGGCTCGTGTGATCTGCTTCGTCGGGGTGGGAGGTGGGGGATGATTTATTTATTTTTTCCCAGATTTGTTCTATTGTACTTTATTAATGTTTTTTATTCTTTTTGTTAGTTTTTATTTTTTTAATTTTAAATATGGTTTTACATTCTGTAAGCCGCCTTGAGTCGCCATGGGCAAATAGGTGGCAATATAAATTAAATAAATAAATTAAATAAATAAATAAATAAAATAGAAGCAAAAAGCCTAATATAGTTGTGGCATGCTTCTGAATTAACTTATTTCTTAAATGCCATTCTTTTAAAAAACAATTAAAGGAAAGCAGCATAAATGATCTAGTTTAGCCTTGAGCTTCATTGATTATGTCTTTGAATAAGAAATATGAATAAGAATTATGTCTGATATTATTAGTAATAAGCAAATCATGCCAGGAATGAGAGATGATGTGTTGCAATCTTTGGAGTGTCCCAATTTGCCTCTTTTCCAATATATTTCTTATGCCATACTAGCTTTGGTGAAGTCTGTTTCTTTTTTGAAAAGATAAATATTGAACTCTGATACCAGTTTATATAAGATCTAAATTTTGCTGTACAGTATATTCTTCCCCTTGTTCTTTAAGAAACACTTAATATTTTTTATTGTTTGTTCGTTTGGAAAATTTATATTGCCACCTACTCGCTCACTGCAACTCAAAGGGTTATGTTGTACTGTCTAAAATCTAAATTAATCATGTAGCCTTTAATGAAATACAGGTTTATTTCCACTCTTCTATTTTAGTTAATAATATTACTTAAAGAAAACATTGTTAAGAACTGGTGATTTATTCATGGGAAAATATTACATCCAGATCTGTAAGGTTCCTGTGTTTTGGATTTATTTGGAAGTAAAATATTGTTTTAGACGGGTATCTTCTTTGCTAATGTCTGTTAATAAACAGTCTAATAAAAGATTATTTTCTTTACTTCAGGGTATATTGTGGAAGTAATGTAATTGTAGCTGTTTTTCCTCATAGTCAAGTTTATATTTGAAATAATATTTTGAATGCATTAGCAAATCATGGAATCCTGTTGAGAAAAGGATTGTTTCCTTGGGGTTATCCAGTGCTTTGAAAATATTAATTCTTTTACTTTCTTTAAAATGAAAAAGAATTACTTAAAATGTATCCTGTAGAAAAAATAATTTGCTGAGAAACAAAGCAGAATAGAAATATGAACAGATTTCTCAGTACTGTAAACTTTTTCTTTGTCAGTGATCTTTGTGCCTTCTTACTTTTGCCCTTCTAGACTTCTGAAGTCTTTTCCTCTATTCATCTATTTATCTAGTAAAGAGCAGTCAAATACTAAGGAATATTGGAAAGATAGAAATAAGATGGAATATTTTAAGTGCTGAAAGGAGGGGACCAGAACTGAAGTACACATATCCTGAAAATCAGAGAATAGAATCTGGAAGCAGAGCCACTGGGCAGGGGGAGGTAGGGAGGTGGATCAAAACAATTGACCTCAAATCACACATGGTTGTGGTGCCATCTTGACATTTTTGACATCTCTTTCTTCAACAGAGCTGCCTAGGAGAACATATTCTGATTTATTGATACATGCTAAGTGAGGCAGACTGCTTATTCTATGCTGGATATTTTAATTATTCTAGTGGATGATTTTTCATGAATGTTATCAATCTGAAAACTTTGAACAATTGTTAATGTTGGTAATTATGATTTATGCAGTCCTCACCATTTTTTTCCAAAAAAAAGGAAAGGGGAATTGGAAGAGTTGTGTTTGACAATTGATATTGTTATATACCTTGCAAAAAAATGATATATTAAATGACTTTAACAAAGTATGATTAGACATAATACCAGCTACAAAGTCTCTGAGAAATGTTTTTGTCTTTAGAACTTTTTAAATTATAATGCCTGTTGTTTTTTTAAAAAATCTGTTTCTGTAGATTTTATATTATATGACAGTTATCACCTGTTATTGCTACTCATATATGCTTAATTTATAATAAACCATATTTATGATCAGCTAATTCCTCTCTAAATTGCAGAAATGAAGAAATACAGTGTATTATACATGTTTATATTACGTTGTTTGCATGATCATTACAATACCTTTTTGTTCTACTTGGAATAATTTCCATTTAATTTTAGACTCACCTCATTTCCTACATTTAGAGAGTAATGAATATCATTGTGACCTTGCTGCTTCCTAAGTTATTTTGATGGATTTTTCTTCATATGCTTGAACATGTATTGCTTTAAAGAATAAATTCAATAAATTTTAGACTAACTTTTAATTTAGCATAAACCATGCAGATTATAATCAACTTCTTCAGATGCAGCAAGGATACTAAGACAATTAAACATAACAATTTTTCAAAATAATCCTAATATATGTAAACAGCATAAACTTTGATAACATGAACCATATGCCAGAGAGGAATTGCATAGAATTAGCACGACTATAACCAAATAATTTGTGGATTTAAATAAAGAAAGACCATCTAAATTGTCTTAAGTTTCCAGAGGAAAGGCAAGATGTGATTCTAATATAATTCTAAATAATAACAAATCCTTTTTTTCTTAAATTCTAGATCTAAACCTGTGTTTACTTTGCCAGTTATGATAATTGTTATTTTTAGGGAAACATGCATACTTGTAATTTATGTCAGTATTTCAAGTAAGGCCCAGTGCAATGGTTAGAAAATAAAATAGCAAATTTGTTAACCAAATCTATTTAAAAATATCAAGGGTAATGTAAATACAAGCAGCTGTGTTAGCAAAACAAAAAACAAAATTAAATTTGCAAGACTGCTCAGTCTCCACTATTAAATTAGTCCACTAAACTATATAGGAACAGAAAAGCTGAGAGTGTACTGTATAAAAAAGATTTGTCTTTAATTTTGCACAATGCAAATAAAAAGTCTTGTGATAGCTAGGATGTGTGAAATAGAATTTACTTTGATTGCTGTGAACTTGATAACAGCATTTAAGAAGAAAAATAAGGTAACATTGTAATTATCTTTTCAAAAAATAGAAATTCTATATATTATTACAATGGCAAAACAAGTTCTTTTAAAAGCATTTTAATCAGAAATATAGTACTAAAACAGTTGTATAATGTCCATTAGCTTGAAAACAACACCATGCTTTGTATGGCATGCCAGGTTCTGTGGGCAAAGCTAGGTTTCTAATTTTTTTAAACAAGTTTTATTCAATTTTTCACATAAAAACAAAAGGCTCTTTTTAGTGGACAATGTATTTTACATACAAATATGACAATAATTATACATTCATATATGCAAACTTAATTCTATTATTACCGTTTCCATTCCAAATTTTCAGAAAAGAGAAAAAAAAACAAATTAATCCAAATTTCTTACATTAATCTCAACCCAAACATCCTTTTATTTCATTTCAATTATTTCAAATATAATCCTTTAATATTTTTAAGAGTAAAATTAACAATATATGTTTGCCTGATAAAGAAAAAAAAAGGTTACCAATGTCTCTCCTTCCTTTTAAAAGTCTGTATTAGCTTATTAATTTAAATAGTTCTTTAATCTATCATATTTTCTCTTCATCATACATTCTTTCTATAAATTCTAGATTAATACAAGTTTTAACACAAGAGAAAAAGAAACAAACTTAAGTTTCCCTCCTTTTACTGCTTTGAGTGTGACACCTCAGTGGTTAAAATATACCTTTATTCCCTCATCTTAATTCCCAATAAACCTTTATTTTTAAGTAGTTACAATAATAATCATTACATCTTTTCATTTGGATTCCGCAATATATTTTCCCCCCTTAATTTTATTTCTAATTAAAAATGGTAAAAGGGAAAAATTAACTATTTAATTCCTGGTTACTGATGTTGACCTCATTTTTAAACATCTTCACATTCATTTCAATTATTACAATTTCTTCAATAAACCTAACTTTTCTTTTAAAGATAAAGATAAAAATGTATATTCATCTAATAAAAGTTATCAGTATCTATCCCTCCTTTAATGATCTGTATTACCCTATTTTCTAAGTATTTTTTAATTGCAAATATATTCTTGCTATCCCTTGCCACCCTGCAGAATCCCCTTTTTAATTCATCAACCATTATCTCTAAAAATACAATTTCTTTTCATCACTTTACTATTTCCGTGTTTATTTGCTGCACCTGTTTCTTACTGCCTCTCCTCCTCTTTTTCCCATATCTTTTCTCATTCTAGTTTATATCCCTCTCTTTCTTGATATCTTCCTTTCCCCTGTTCTGCTGCACCTTTCTACCTCTCCTGATTTCACAGGTATTCCCCTTTTTGATTACCTTCTTAACTCTCAACTTTTTAACCTTCCTTCTTTCCCCTCGTCTTTGGAGTGTTCTTTGTGTTAATTGTCTATTTAAGATGGCTTCTCCTTGAGCTGACTCCTCCTCCTCTGAAGTTCTTTCTTTTTGTTCAATCGCCATTTCCATTTCTTCCAACACAGAACGAAGTGATTCGCCTCTTTCCTGTAGTAATTCTCTCATATTTTTAAGTTCCATTTTTAATTCCCAAAGAGACATCTTCATTAGACACTCTTATATTTTATGATCGTTAAAGTCCACAAAAAACACTTTTACTTTCCTTCTTTCTTCTTCAAGTTTTCTAAAGTTCTCAATTGTTTCAACCCAGGGTCTATACCAAAAACATCAATCAATCCCACAGCCAGTCTTTCCTTGCTTCTTTCTTTATTCTGGTTCAGCTTTCCCTTTCTAAGATTCTTACTTTGTTTCAATATTTCTTTAACATTATATCAACACAAGTTCATACAGAAACATGCTGATTTCCCTTTTGTTTGAGTTTAAGTTTTTATCCAGAAGATGGCACTCTCCATTATACAAAGTCTTCACCTTTCCCCCTATTTTATTATTTAGGGTTTTTCGAACCTCAATATTCCAGAGCAGTCCAGTCTCCAATTTGTAAATTTTATTATTATTATTTTTTGACAATCTTAAGTCCAGCTTTATTTTATGCCTATTTGTTGCCAAAATATTTTAATCCAGTTTAATTAAGTCTTTAATTCCGGCTTCTTCCTTTCCCGGTTCGAAGCCCCTCTTTAGCTGTCAAAATTATTTTCTTGTTGTTGTTTTTTTTCCTGTACCTTTGTATTTTTGCCACTCACTTTTCTTTTCTTAAAGAGTTCAATGTTACCTTAATCCTGGGGTACTTTTTGTTTAGTTGTTTCGCCCAATTGTCCCGGCTCAGATGTTATCCACCTCTTTCTTCCCTCCTGCACAAATCTTAGTCCAGCTGAGTCCTCCTCTTCGGGGGTGGCCATTTTGGACTGCCGCTTCAGTCGTCTTCAAGGGAAAAAGACCAAGCCCAGTAGGGGAGATGTGGCTCCCCTCAACCTGGCTGGCAGCTTCCCCTTACTCCACCGCCCCTCCAAGGCAGCTTCAGCCCCTAATCGCGATGATCGGGGCTTTCCAACAAATGAGTACGGATCATAGCCATGGACAGTCGCGACCTATGGTCCATCAGCGAGGAGAGCTCAACCCGGAAGAGGTCCTACTAGGTTTCTAATTTTAAGATCTTTTTTTCTTCTGGGTTCTTCAGCTGTGGAATAGAATTGTAAATTTCCACAAACTAGAGAGGCATATTGTCCCAAACCCCTTCTCTATGAGAAAAATAACACAAATATTTGGCTCTTTTCTTTTGTGTGTTGCTTTGGTTGATCCAAATAAATATTGATGGGAGACCTGCTACCTATAAACCAGATTTTTGGACTACAGAATCAGACTAGGAATAACTAAATGAGTAAACTGTTTTTTAAGAATTAAAAAGCAAAAAGTTAAAAGGGGAGTTAAAAGAGAACACTGTTCATGTAGATAGAAAATGCAATGTGCCTTTTTATGGGAGCATGATTCTATCAAAGTCAAAGATAAGCTGAATAGTTAAATAACTGTATACATTTATATTAAAAATAAATAACTCTTCCAAAAATGAATAAATGATGTACCCACAATAATGCTAACTGTTTGGTCCATAGAGTAACAGTCACTAAGTGATTTTATATTCCACAAGGGTTTAAACTACATTTCTTTTCAAAGACAGTGTTAGAGTTCTGGAAGGCTATTTATAATGTGATAAATTGTGCCTTTGATTTAGCCCGCTATAATACTGGCCTATAGTTAAATCAGTGGCACAGTTTATTAGACTATATACATGAATGTTTTTGGAATGAAGATGATACTTGAAATGTCCCCCAGCATAATTAATATTTATGTTCTGAGAATCATTAAGATCATAATGCAGCAGTCCTGCAAATTTTACTGTATTATATTATGTATTTTCTATGCACAAAATATAATTTGTAGAAACAAAAATAGTATTGTTAAAATATCATTACAGCGTTTTGAATTGACTAAAATATAATATTCAGGAACTCAAAATACTAAAATTAGGATTTAAAGATTCTGGAAGAATTAAAAAGTACGTATTTGTTGTGTTGCCACAATGATGGTGAATGAGAGAATCAAGAAGTCACCATTTATAACCAGGGAATAAAAGGAGGGTGCCTTTTTCTCAAATAGTCATTATTGCATCAGATCAGGGCTAGATTTTTATAAAGAATTGTCAGTTTGAAGTACTGCGTGTGTAATGTGAAAGGCCATTTTCTGACATGCTACTTCCAAATTATTTAAGGCATTGTAGTCTTAATGGTTAAAATCAGGACTTTGAATTGGACCAATGTATCTAATTCTATATAATGAGAGCCAGTATAATCATTAGTGTAATGTTATTACACATAAAAGAAGGGATGAAATATCTTGTGACTGTTCTGGGACACCTCACAACTTAATTATGTTCCAACAACTAAGCAATTAATATTGCTTCTGTCTAGTGAATTTGTGATACGAAATAAAACATTTTTGCTTTTTCCTAAGCTTTCACATTTAGTTTTTGCTTTGCCAGATTATTGTACTACTTGTGCCAACAAGCATTCTGTTTCTTTTTGTTATAATACTTATAATAAAATTTAGCTACTGATCTCTTAAGTGCAATGTTTCTCTCTCATTTCGATCAAAGTAGTTACTATATTTTTGTTTTACACAGTTTGATTAAACATTTAAAAATATTAGCATTCTTTATTACTGACTTTGTATATTGTTTTGCATTTGTGTTAATGGCTGGCTTAGAACTTACAAGAACCTGTAAATAAATTAATAGAAAATGAAGAAAAGGAGGAGGAACTGCATCATACCAAATCAGAGGATGATCAACAGAGTCAGTAAGTCTTACAGTATTCATAAATTAAAGCAATACAATCATAAGTTGAAGATTATTTGTACTGATGATATTATGTCACATATTGTTGAAGAGTCTTATCTAAGTGGTTCGATATATATGTGCTAAATGGGGAATGAGTCTACCCCAGAGCACCCCATATTAGAATGCCCTAGGCCTAGGGCTATCTAAGCATACCCAATTGGAAACATATATTCAGAAAAGAATGGAATCACTATAAAATAGCACCCTAGCTCATAACACATGCAGATAGTTTGAAAAGATACTATGTTCTACAGAATTAAATAGCGCTGATGGTTCCAAGAAAACTAATGGGATTGCTATCTTCCCATTTTTGCCCTCACAATGGCCCAGAATCTAATTCCTATCCACATCCAGGTTTGCCCATACAAGTAGGAATGTAACAGATAGACACAAACTCATTTTAAAAGCACTTCCACTTCCTCCAAATCAATGGGTTCAATCTCTTTCCAGGTAACTTTACAAGATATCATATTTGGCATGTATTCAGACTTTGAAGTGCAGCTAGCTTGCAACTCCAAAAGAATGCAAGTAATTTTATCCACAGCACTATATGGCAGCCTGTTTGCAATTTCTTATTTGTCTTTAAAAATTGTTGCCAGGTGGCATTTTACAGCTTCAGTGAGAATAGAGAAGTGGCTTCATCATTTTTCAACCACAGTGTAAGTTGGTAGTATCAACCTAGAATCAGCAGCCTAAACATACAAACTATCAGCCTCAGCAGGAATGCCAATTTGCATTTGAATATAAGACACAAGAGAAGCATTTCTAGCTTTTCCCAGTGACCCAATGGCTCAAAGATGGCCTTGCGTCCAGTCATCTGTGGAACAGGGCTCTCCTGATAAACAAGTACTTCTCTACCCTTCCATTTTTGGATCTAGACTGAGGCAACACTTGAAACTCAGGTAGATGCATTTTATTCACCTTAGAGCACCATCTTGTCTGATTCATCCATATTGCAGTAATAGACGACTTGTGGAAACAGTCAGAAAGGCAAAAATCTTATTGTCATCTGTTTCAATTCAGTGGAAACAAATTATTAATACACCAGGAAAAAAAAGCTTTTAGAGCTGGCTGTTTGATTTTATTTGATTTTTTTCCCAAAAATCTTGATGAAATTATTTCTATTCTTTCAGAAATTATTTTTTAAAACTTCCTTTATTCTGGACTCTTAAAAGTATGTATTATTTAGTAGCTTCAGAGAGAGTGTATTATTGAGAATTATCTTTTAAGCTATTATTTTCATGTTCACATTGAATCATCTGTTATGTACCACTGATGCAACCTAGGAATTCTCTAGCAAACACAATCATTTTAATTTGTATAAGAACAATTTTGAATGGCTGTTGTAAAGAAAGCTTCTAGCTTCTTTCCCAACATAGTCAGCAAAACCACTTGAAACCAACTATAAAGAACCTTTAAAAGAAGAGACAAATGATTTGACTGATGCCAGCCTCTTATCAGTCTCATTATTGCATGAATGAAGACATAAAAGTCTTCCTTTTAATTATGCTGCTGCAAATAATAACAATCTATATAGTAGCAGAAGCAATATTAGTAGGCAGACACAGTATTACTTTTTCATTTAATCTGAAAAAAAAATATGTTCCATAATATTAGGTTTGTCATAAACCTAAAAATATGTGTACTCTATAGAATAATTATACAAAAACTTTTTTAAATGCTGAGAATTTCTCAGAATCATTTCTATTCATAAGGTTCATTCATTCGTGTGCATTTTTACTGTCTGAAATATAAGTATATTGTAGGACAGTGTTTCTCAACTTTGGCAATTTGATGATGGGTGGACCAACTCCCAGAATTCCCCAAAGAGCCTGCGGAATTCTGGGAGTTGAAATCCACAAGTCATAAAGATGTCAAGGTTGAGAAACACTGTTGTAGAGATGCATAAGAATGAGTCTTAACTTCAGGAAAATAAAAATAATGACAACAGTTACATTTGAAATCAACAAGGAAGCAACTGAATTAGTTCAGTAATTTATCTTCTTTGGATCAAAAAATGTTTAAAATGGCAATTCTATACTTGAAATCAAGTGCAGGATAACTTTAGACGGTACTGCAATGATGAACATGAAAAAGATCTGGAAAAGCAGAGATATTGATATAAATACAAAAAGCAGGGTAGTTAGGGCCATACCTATAATGATAAATGGATTTGAGAGATGGATACTAAGAAAGGCTAGTTAAAGAAGAATTGTCATCTTTGAACTATGGTGCTGGTATAAATTATTGTGAATTACATGGACAGCCAGAACAACCATCAGAGAGCTGCTGAATCGTATAAAACCAGAAACACCACTAAAAGCCAGAATCATAAGACTACATCTGATCTGCTTTGGCCATGTAATGCAATCAAATTAATTGGAAAATAGATGATGCTAGGAATGGTTAGTGGATCTAGAAGAACTTGCTGGCTTGACACCATTAAAGCTGATAAATGGATGAACTTCCAACAACTCAGTGGTAGGATTCAAATATTGTTGCCACCAGTTCAGTGGGTGTGGCTTGGTGGGCACGCTTTGCGCACGTGCACCCACTTTGCGTGCATGTGCGTGCCAAAAATGCATTTTGTGCAGGCACAGAGGCATTTGTGCAGGCGCAGAGGCATTATAACTCATCTCCTGCAAGCCTGCACGATCCCGGTCGCTTTAGCAGCTGCCACATGGCACTATTTTGTGCCGCGCAAAGCAGCTGCGCTTCAAATTCAGCAGATAAAAATGAGTAAGGGAGTCCGGGCAGGTGGGCAGGCCCAACAGCAGAGCGGCAGAGAGAACCGGTTCGGTCTCCGCTGCTAATCACTCCTACCGGCTCACCAGAACTGGACCGAACCGGTCGAATACCACCACCGCAACAACTGTAAAGAAGCTGTGTTTGACAGGGTAGCATGGAGAGACTTGCCTGTAAAGTTATCAAGAATTCGTCCTGACTGAATTGTTAAAACTATTAGTAGTAGTACGATAGGCACAGTGGTTCATCCTGTAGTTTTCTGTGAATGTCTGATTCTGGTTCTAAACAGCAATTAATGAGACAGGAGAGAAAGTCCAATAACATCAAAAGGTGATAATAAAGTATGGAAGTAATTATTTTGAACAATGTCAAGACATGTAATCCATTCATAGATAGCAATATTGAGGGCACCATATCAATCCTATACTAGATCCTACTGTCCACATAACATGCGTAATGCAGTCTTATTCCTACAGCCCTAATACTAGAACAGTTTCTGGCAGAAATATCAGTTCTATTTCTTTGTAACACTAAGTAACATATCATACTAAACATTATTTTGCCAGAGTCAGAAAACTTAACTCCTACAACACATGATAAAATCTGAGATTTAGGTTCTTAAATATACACATTTGCATGTAGTGAGGGTTTTTTGTTGAAAGAATACTAATGCTAGCAACAGATCTTCAGAAGATCTTGATGAAATTCATAAGGATATCATAGCTTTTTAACGTTCTTCTTAAAAATGAGGAAGTAAGCTCTTTTTCACCCCTTTCAATTTAAGGTTGATATCGTTAGATGATGAAAGCAACACCAACGAAACAGCCAACTCAGGTATTATTTTTTATTATGTTTTGCAAATGCCAGGCATGCTCCAAATTCCCACTTGTCTTAATAAAAGCTGTGAACATTTTGTTCTAACAGGTTACTTTAGAGTATTAATACCATGCGTCATTTCAGGATATTTCATCCCAACTCTAAACATTTAAAGTACCAGAAATCCTTTAAGATAAGATATTTGCAATTCATTTAAGATTTTATTTAACCCATTTTTGAAGTCTTCTCATAAAATAAATATGCTAGTGTTAGTCCAATAAAAAAGGTAATGTCTACTAAAGCAGCTAGAATACTCTGTTGTTCTTTTGCAAATGAATCAGACATCTCCTGTGTGCTATTTCTCAGTAAATAACATACATGTAATTTGTGATCTGGACTTGGTTGAGAATTTATTCTTTATAAGCATGAGAGTAACAAAACTTAAATTATTTGGACATTTTAATTAAACTATTTATATAAGTATATTTCCATACTGTACTATCTTTCTATAAAAAAACTACCACAGTAATGGTAATGTGCAGTAGTCAAAAATATAATCCAGCAACAGCTACATAATGGAATATTAATAGCACAAAAACATTAAAACAGTTGTAAAAAGTTTAGCTTAGGAGCTGTGTTTAAATTGATAAAATAAATTGATTAACAAAAACAATAAAAAAAATTGTAACTACCTTAACACTGGAGCAAAATCAACCCATTCCATATATAATCTGTATGGATCCATACTGTTAACCCACAGAGAATGCCTTACAAAGTGGAAGTTAAACAGTGCTCCTAAAATGACTTTGTAGTAGCCCCACTCTTAATTTGAATTGAAATCTCTCAGAGAGAAATCAGAGTTCTGTTGCAGAGAGAGCAAAGAACAAAAAACTAAAATGATATTTTATCCATAGTTACCAGAAGAAAGAGCCTACTCTTTATTTTTGCAACAACACAATGTTGCAGCTTGTATTAGCGTTTAATTGGGAGGATGGTAGATCTCCCAGCTAAATGTTGATGTTTATAAACTGTTAAACATCTGTAAATTTCAACAATATATATAATGTAGTAAATAGTAGTAATTCAGTGTCCTTTTCAAATGTGGCATGGATTTTTTTTAATGGAATATATTATTTTGAAATCCCTTAAGTTGTTATAAGTTGATCATTTTAAAGCTCTCCATACTTTAACTAATTATTTATTAATCTAGATTTATCAAAAATATATTCTAGTTAATAAAACCCCTTTTACTGATTAATTCTTTCTTCAGAACTATTTCAGGCTAAATGAAAAGTCCCAGTAGTAAAATGATCAGATAGAAAAATCTAACAGGCACTGGCCATCTTCAGTATTGTTCTTTTCTTTGCTGGATTTGATTTTATCTAGAAAATACTTTGATTACAGCAGAAGATGCTAATGACATGCTGAGTACTTTTGGAGAGAACTTCAATCACAGAGAAAATTCAGGTATGTTTTTTAGAAATGCACTGCAACTATATAAACTATATAGAAGTAAGTTTCACTGAGTTCAGTGTAAGCTGTTTCCAGATAATTTTCAATAGGATTACTTGTTCTAAGTATGAAATTTACAGAAATTATAGATAAGTTGTTTCTTCAAATTTTCTATTTTTTAGAAGTTATGGATCACTTATTAGAATTGAAGCATGGAGAAAATGGTATGTAAATGTTTTATTTAGAACATCAATTTTATACAGATGCTAAGTGTTTTTCAGTGTGCTCATTGGCCAAATGCTTAAGTATTACAAAAGAACATTCACTTGTTTCTCTGATGTCAAACTTCATTTATACATTAGCTATTCTCCCATTGGGCTTTCCGCAAGGCATGTTTTGTGGACCCATAACACAGTTTGTAGAAAACTTGTTTGTTTCATACTTATCCTGGCAAGTATTGAAACATTTTGCCTGCAGAAGCTGTGCTTCATCACTGAAGGCTTTTAAGAACAACATCCATTCGAATAAGGTATAGTATAGTAATCTGCTGAATAGGGAGACTATTATATAGGGATAATATAGTATATAGGGTTTCCTGCTTGAGCAGCAGATTGGACTAGAAGACCTCCAAGGTCCCTTCCAACTCTATTATTCTATATTCTGTGTTATTCTGCAGTATTAACTAGTAAAATCCAAAGCTTGTTTCTCCTATTTCAGCAATAGATGACTTCAATTGCTTGAACTTTGCTATATTTCTGGATAGTGTTTTGGTGTCCCACAAGGTTCCTACCTTACCTGACCTTGATAATTAAAATGATTTTAAATAAAATATAAAGTTGGAAATGGGTAAAACATCATATTCTAATATATTATTTATTTAAGCATTGAGCTTTGGCATCATAAAACTCTTGAGGTAGATACATCTCTATGTGGCAGGGGAATAAATGTTGCAAGTAATGTCATGCTGCCATTATGCAAGCTCTATCTTTCTTGTATATGTGATATGATGTCCCATCCATGTACAAAAGGACAGTGTTTGCATCTCGGCAGTACAATACTGTTATTGTCATTTTGATAACAACACTGGAATCTCTGGATGCATTATAGAGAATCTTGGTAGTTTGCTTTCGGGTAACTGGTATTCCACAACTATTCATGCCCAATATGACAGTATTTTATAAAGAGTACAAATTACCCATTCTGAGTACATCCACCACATGCTTTCCAACTCCAGATGTGTCCCTGATCATAAAATCGTTGTCTATCTTCATCATATTTGGTTTTGACTCATTTCCCATTCTTTTATTTTTTGGAATATTGATTTTCACTTGATTCAGACCCAAGACAATGACTAGTATTTAAGATAACCACTATTTTTCCAACTTTCTCTGTCTGAATAAATGCTACCCTATCCTATAAATGTTATATTTGTAAGAAATAGCATAATATACAATGTATGGTGAAAAATATATTGTAGTACATGCCTACAATATATTTTAAGCTTTTTGCAGCCTATAATATTTTTAAGAAATATGCATCTTGTTAAATCCCATAGCTATTCAGCGCTAATGAAAGTTATAAAAACACAACTTATAAAATAATATTTGATATCAGTGAATACCCAAAGTGTGAATTTATTTCTCTTGAGAAATAAGCAATGAGTGAAAATAGATTTTCAAAATTCAGAACACTGAGTAGTGTCTAACTCAGAGTTTCCAAACCCTGTCAATTTCAAAGGATGTTTATGAGGGAGCATAAAGAAAATCAGATAACTAAATCACTGGTAAATAACAGAATAAAAGTATAAATAATCATAAACAGATGTAATGAACATTTATTTGGTAAATGTTCAGTGCCAGGGATTATTGGTCTTTCTCCCTCTCCCCCCCCCCCCCTCCCTCTTCCTCTCTCCCTCCCTCTCTCTCTCTCCCTCTCTCTCCCCTTTCTCTCTCTCTCTCCCTCTCCCTCCCTCCCTCCCTCTCTCTCTGTCATCCCTTTCTCCCTCTCTCTCCCTCCCCCTCTCTCTCCCTCTCCCTCCCTCTCCCTCTCTCTCCCCTTTCTCTCTCTCTCTCCCTCTCCCTCCCTCCCTCCCTCTCTGTCATCCCCACTGTCACTTGGTCAGAATTTGGGCAACTGCAGCAATTAACAACTGCAGTAAAAAGTGTCATAATCTCAGGCACAACTCATTTAACAACTTTCTTGCTTACTTACAGAAATTCTGGTTCTAAATGTGATTTAAGTCAAGGACTATTGATTTCAGAAGGCTGAGTAGTGTAACTCAGAGTTTCCAAACTTGTCAATTTCCAAAATATGGATTAAACACTTAGAATTCCATAGGCAGCATATCCACTGCTGAGAATTCTCACCTTCAATTTGCCAGGGTTAGGAAACACTGATCTAACACTGATTTAAGACTTGGATGGGAAACAACAGGCCAATACCAGAGTTTTAGGTTAGATTCAAAAATATTATTTTACAATTCAGAAGATAATAGTAAATTACTTATCAATTACCAGAAGCAACTACATATATAGGAAATGGCCATGCTAACTCAAATTAAGTATTAATGTTTAATATTCATATTTGCTCTCCTTAGTTCCTCCTATATCACCTGTTGTTACCTGCATTTGCATCATCTAATCCAACTTGTCCCTAGTAAATGAAACTGTGAATTTATATCACATGTATAATTGTTTTAAGAAAAAAAAATCTGAATACATAACTTTAGGCTGCGTGAAGCTCAATGCATACTGACATGGCTATCAATTCAATAGCATAAAATCATTTTATAATCATAAAAGCTGAAGCTGTAGGTTCTTTAGACATTTCACCAATGGCCATTCTCATTTGCAAACATCCCCCGCACTGCAATTTCATTGAATGGAAAAAAAGGTACTCTAATCATAATACATAATTTCTATATTTTTTGGATTGCTTTGCAGAATAATTTATGAATTTGAGAAAATGAATATAGATGTTTCCTGTTCAATATGGCAAGGGAAAAATAAATATATGGAAGAAGAATTACCAAAATAAAAAGAGCAAAATATCAGCAAAGCAAGTAGTTGTTTTGTTCCAAAGGGACCCTGCCCACCTGAATGCAATAGTGCCAGGTGGTAACAGGTACCACCTTCGTCCAACTGCATTCATACCAGGCCACAATACCGAATACATTTACCATCCCACATCACACTTCCACATTTATGCTACACTGCAGCCCCTGCCCATCCCCATATGCACCATGCTGGGGCATTGCACTGCAGCACCCACACTCCTGCCTGCACTTGCGCTGCAGCATCCACAGAACTTTGGTGCCATAATACCCAAAGTGTATTAGTATTACATGGAATTCCATGTTGTTTAGTTTAGTTTTGGTATTATGGCACCAAAGTGCTGTGGATGCTTTAGCGCAAGTGCAGGCAGGAGTGTGGGTGAAACACTAGTTTCAGATTATTACATTGCTTCACAAAGAAGGAAGTCTTTTCTTAAAACCTTCATGAAATTGATTGTTTTAAGGATTTTGTACAGCCTTATAACTTGCTAGTTAATTCATTTTCTGGTTTATTTAACAATCCAGATTTCATTCTTTTATTTCTCTATTTATATCTTCAACATTATCTGCAGTAATATGTGTGTGCGCATGTGTGTGCTTTTGACTCCTGGCAACTGCATGGACAAGTCCGTGCATTTTTCTTCATAAGATTTTAAAAGTGACTTGCCACTACCTGCTTCCTACAGCCAAGGGAAAATGGCTGGCCCAAGGTTACACAGTTGTCTTCAAGCCTAAAATGGAACTAGAATTCATGTTCCCCTCGTTTCTAGCCTTGGTCTCGTATCACTACACCAAACTGGCTTAATACTGCTATGTTCTAAACTCCATTGTTCAAATAATGTCATCTGATGGCACCCAGAAAATGTATCTTCTCTGTTATTGCACCTGCCTTCTGGAATAGCATTTTCTCAGGGATTTATGTGGCACCTACTGTACCTTTCTTCAGGCACAGTAAAACCTTGGCTCTCCACCCCCACACCTTTGGTTTTGGTGGATGATGAGCTTTTCATAACAGTTTGTTTGCTGCACTGGATAGTTGTCTCCTTCAGATACATTTTCTCTTTTCTGCTTCTTTTAAAATTGTTTTTATTGTTTAAGACAGTTTTCTTAGAACTATGTAGCCTTATAAATACATTAAATGCATTTTAAATTAACCTTTTCCAAGATGGTTACTATCTAAATCTCCAGTATTTGGTGCAATTTGCGGGGTCCTTTTAAAAATTGGGAAGGATACTACTACAATGTCTCTTTTTAACATTAGTCAGAACATGCTTTCTTGCATAAACTAAGATAGTTAAGGTTAATCTGAAAAATGAGAGATCCGAAATTTTCAGACTACATAATGATTCCATAATATAAAACTGGAGAACTATATTAAGATTATTTAGCTCATTTAAATTTAAATAATTGTGCACACTGTAGGTGGAACTATCCGTATAGCCTAGGGTTATCTATTTAGTTGGTGACAACTCTATAGGGTTTCAGGCAGGAACCTTTCTCATTCCTATCTGAGAGTTTTATATGTACTCTACTTTTGTGTTCATTCTCTTTGGATAGGTATGGATGGTTATTCCTTACATTTGTTCTTATTTTAACTAATCTATCAATCTGTATATTATTCTTTTAGCAGTATCAAAGGACCAGCTTGTGAGCTCCCTAGAACCTGAACCTACTGATAAGAATGACATGGTATTGTTAAATGAGATTCTCAATGCATCTTCTTTGGATGATGGCGAATTCAGCAGGGAATGGGTAGCTGTCTTTGGAGAGGTTACCCTTGCTGACACAGGGGCAAACTCTTCTGTGGGAGAAATTGAGAGCAGTCAATCACCATCAGGCTTCCTTCCTTCTCAGCTTTTAGACCAAAACATGAATAATTTGCAACGTTCTCTTCAAGGTAAGCTTGTTTTCATACCTGACATTATAATCCTAAATTAGTCATTTGTCTGGTCACATTATTGTCTCTGGTTACATCATTTTGGCCGAAGGTAAAACAGGAATGAATGTAGGTGTTTAGTGCCAAATTCTAGTACAGTATGTAACAATGTTCTTCCATTGAAGCTACTGGAAGGAAACATTTCCTAAATTTCCACATCTACTTGAAATAGTCATAATTTTCTATCTTATGTGAATTTAACAAATGTACTTTAAACTATTGTTTTTATCAAGCAATATGGATTCACTATACTTATTTGGGCAATATGCAATTGATACTGCAGCTCAGATAATGGGAATAGAAAATTGCAGATGGTCAGAACCAGCAGTGATTTATTTTCTGACCAATGAAGACTTGGCTTTTCTCTTAGGCACTGGGCAGTTGATGGTATGGGGCAATTGGTGAATATATTTGAGTTTTACTATGGTCTCGATTATGTTTATTATTTCAAATGGTCTTTATTGTATTATGTTTTAATTTTGTTTGTTGCCAAGAACTCCTTCTGGAAAATGGATGCCTATATAAATTTGTTTAGTAAATAAATGCCAAGGGAAGAAATATTAGGGAAATCAAGTTTGCTTTCAAAACTTAAAACTACTGTCTCACATTTTACCTGAATATGATTACATGAATGCATATCTTGGGAAGTTTGTAAATATAATTTCTAGGAAGTGGTGATTCCATTCCCTATATTACTCTAACTTTATCGATAAGTTTTTAAATTTTGTTAAAATCATAACCAGTTTTGCTCTCATTGAATATTGATTAATTATTGTGACACTTAAAAACATAATGTATCTCTAGGACAAGATTTAAAAGAAAACATGCTTTATTAAATCACCATTCTTGTTGTTTAAGTTCTCTCCATACAGTGGGACATCTTCTCTGCTGCCAACATTTGTTAATTTCTCTGCTGTTTCTTGGGCAGATGGTGGCTGTGGGAGGAGGCGTAAAGGGTGAAAGGAAAAATTGTCATATTATTTTTAGAATGAAGGGATGACATGTGTGAAGGGTACTTAACTCCTCCAGGGTGTTAATGTGGGTTGGGTTGGTTGTCATTTGTTGATGGGAAAATTATTCCTCTGATTTTGCTCAGGTAGAAGAAATAATACAGTTTGGAGTAGCAATAAAAAGAGTGTTTTTAAAGGGACACCATTAGGACTGGCAGATCTATGATATCAATATGTCATTAGAATTTCAGTGGTTTTATTCCAGATTCTTCGGCTTGACAAGTCTGAGTAGAAAAATAGCTGCTTTCTCAATACTGGGAAAATGCTAAAGACAAGAATATTTTAGTTGGTGTGATTTACCTTGATACAGGTTAGGAGATGCCTTGACGTGTGATGGGCAGCAAACAAATTTAATTTATAAGTGTATTAAAAAAATCAAAAGTATCTCAACATAGCAAGAAATATATATATAAAACATTTCTCGTAGTGACGACTGCTTTCCATTAAGCAGCAATTAAATGATAGAAGGTAAGAATTAGAATTAAAAGCTGTAGGATGGAAACATGTATGTCCTCCTATAACCTGTTTAACAAAGACTTTTGGAAGAAGGACCATTTCAAATTCATATTTTTCAGGCAGTATGTTTAGTGCTGAATTGTCTGAGAATGATAAATGATATATATTTCGCTTCAGTGATGGAAATAAATAATAGAACATTTTACATGGTTGCTGAAAAAAAAATCACTATAAATATGTGGCTTTCTGTTTGTGTGTGCACATGTACAACATAAACACACTGTACAGGTAGTCTTCGACTTACAACTATTTCTTTAGTGACCCATTAAGGTAGCTTTGTAGGAGAGCAGATTTGGGACCCATCAAAAAACCGTCGGATTGCCTTAACTTGGAATATCTTGCAGGCTGCAGGAGCATAATGGACTCCTTTTGAATGGTAAAATCTTCCCATAGTTGTAGAGGTACATTGTATAAAATTTGTACTGTAAGAAAAATGAGTATACCAGGATAGGGAGGTATGAAATTGTACTGCAAAAAAATTACAGATGTGCACCTATTTGATTGGAGTTCTGTTTGTTTACTTTATAAGATTTTATGATAGTGTCAGGCAAAAAACCTTGGTTTTCTGATATTTTATTAATAGTTTTTGTTTCCTGCAGACTAAAGTAATTTCCTAAGTGTTTTTCTCATTTTCATTTGTGAGTTAGACATAATAATAACATTGGCATACAGACAGAGTGGCCAGATGATGGGCTGGATCAAGAAGCATTTGAATTATTGGATTTAGATATAAATTGAAAAGTAAGGGGGCAACTGTTTAGAGTTACATATAATATAGTGTTTGGCCTTTTTACTTTTTACTGATAAAAGTTCAAGAACTTGTCCAGTCAACTCTCATTAATAGTCTCCATGGTCTTTTGAAGTAGAGAACTAGAATCAAAGAAGATAGTGTAATGAAGATCCCAACATTATTTAATAGGAAAATGGAGCTTGACATTAGAATCAAATATTCTTAAATAAGAATAAATGTAAAAGTATTAGATCAGTCAATCCAATTAAACATGTTCTTACAATTGCTTTGTTTCAGCAGCTTGTGTGTAAACAATTCAACTCTATTATTGAACAGAGGCAGAAATTTTTTTTCAACATTGGATTACCTTTCTGCCTCCCTTATTTTTTGTGGCTTGGATTTTAAAAAACAAACAAAAATATGTGACTTGCTTTTGAGTAATTACTGAAATAATGAAAAAAGGCTGGCAGATTGGAGAAAGCAGAATTGAAAATTGCCCAGTGGTATTATAGGTAAAACAGGATAATAAAAACAAGGACAAATAGGCTGAAAAACAGCTTCTATCCCAGGGCAGTAGCTCTGTTGAATTCAACCGTTGGTGAGGTGTCTGAGGTTTTCAATTCAATGTGTTAAATGTGAAGGATGTTTGTTTATTTTTATTTTCATGATCATGATGTGCACTGAAGATGGTGTTTGATTTCGTTGTACGAGGTGCAATGACAATAAATTAAACTAAACATTTCTTCAGAAATAATTCATTTTTGTTGCTTTGTAACACCAATATTTGTTATCAAGTGTTTTATTTAAACAAAGCACAACCACTTATATATCATTGTAATGAACATATTTTAGAGTAAACTAAAATGTCCATGTTAGAAATTCCATAGTGTTTCTTAACACTCGCTGTATTCACAGAAGTACCAAATTTGCTATAAATGTATTTACTGGGGAGTCCTGCTTTGATTCTATTTTTTTCCCATCACTCTAATGTTTTTATTGATGGATTATTATATTGCCATATATTCCACATTAGCAATAAACTTTGTCAACTTTCCTTAAAATTGAAATCAGTTTTAAATCAGTTTTCACATGTTTAGTCTAATAGAAAGCATAGTTGTTTATTTCTTTATGTAATGTGTCTGCTAATCAAAAAATGGCAGTAGCCTCTTTTTTCACGGGGTGGCAGTATATTATAACATATGTTCATATTTTCCAAAACTCTGAAGTCCCTGAGCACTTTGGTAGAAATATGGTTTCTATTCCTTAGTCCTTTAAAAGACCATTGTCTCTTAAAAGATTAGTTTGCAGCACAATCATTGCTCTTTCCTATAAATAATAGTTATTTTATGGCGAAAAAATAGTTAATATTCCATAATTCAAGACAAATAGATTGAAAAAACAAAATGCCAGTAAAAGAATAAGTTATCCCGTTTATTCAAAGATAGCATCCTTCCTCTCAGATGAAACTTGGTATCTCTGCTTGCTTTTTTATGTCAATATGGTTTAGTAATCCTAAATTGGGGGCAACTTGTTTCATTGTATCATGGCTGATCCCAATGTTCCTTAAATAATTGAGGAAGTGTTGCAAATGCACACAACATGCCAATTGCATGACTGAAATGCTAACTGTAATAACTATTATTTCTTATTATGTATTTCATTGGCAGAGAACAATAGCATTTTGCTACAATTCTACAAATTGAAAAATTAATCTATAAAACTAATAAAGCATTCTACTTTAATCCACTCTAGCTATTCACTGGACTAAAAACCAATTTCAGCTTGCTGTTTAGCTGATTTCATACCTGAAGCTGAGAGTAATCATATCACATTTCTATAAAACTAAAATACGTCCTCTTAAAAAGTCAGTTTGCTTACAATCTCAATTGAGACCAAACACAGTTGTGAAGTAAAGACAAGGCTGTTAAGCAAATCTGGATTCCCCCATTGATTTTACTTGTTGGAAGCAGGCTAAGAAAGTTGCAGGTGGCAATCAGGTGATCCCAGGACACTTTAATAGTTAGAAATACATGCCAGTTGCCAAGTGTCTGAATCATGTTGGATCATGTGACAATGGGGACATTGTGACAGTCACATTTGAATGGTCACTAAATGGTGATAAGTTGAGGACTACATGTATTGCTAAAGTTAAAAGTTTCCCTCTCTAGTCATGTCTGATTCAAGGGCACAATGCTCATCTCTGTTTCTTGGCCAAGGGAGCGGGCATTGTCCAAAGCCATTTTCCATGATCATGTGACCAGCATGACTATACACCAAAAGGCACAGAGAATGCTGTTACTTTCCACAGAAATGATACCTATTATTCTATTTGCATTTGCATGCTTTCGAACTGCTAGGTGGGCAAGAGCTGGGGCAAGAACATGAGCTCAGCCCAGTGCACAGTTCTTAGACCTTGAACCCCGGGTGTCAGCTTTCCAGTTGACAAACTCAGTGTCTTTAACTGCAGAGACATCACACACCTCCACCTCCCCATATTGCTATTTTAACAGAAAGGCTTTTGCTTTCTTAACTCTATTTAGTTCTAATTTGTTAATAACAGCTTATCCCAGAAGAACTGCAAGTCTGTTGCTAGATCTCTTTCTTAGGTTTAGAACCATCCTATATGAAAGCAAAATTAAAATACACAAGAAAACTTGTGAAACATTAAAACAATACAAAGAAAAATACACAGGCTTAAGGTAACCTTAGCTCCTAAATCAATGACATGACAAAGCAAAATGAAAGCAGCATTTCACAGCATGTCAAGAGTTTGGTTTTTCAGGAAATGGTTTGGGTATTGTTGCCTTGCATGATTTAAAATGGTTAAGCAATTCCTATTGATTTATAGAAATGCAATTCTTTTATTGAATTTTAGGCTGGGGAGCCAGCAGCATTAACCCATCACCTGCAGTGCAGACAGGACAGAAATCCAACAGCTTCAACCCAAATGTCAACAAGACACCAATGAAAGGTAACTGATAAAGATAAATTTTAAAACATGTTACCTTTGAGCTCAGACTTCTCCAGAACCTTGCATATTCTCAGGTCTATTTACAAATAATAGTTTCTTTTGAGGCTATATTTTATTTTTACTACCTCTGACTAAGTATTCATCATCCTTGGAATACATGTACAAATATGTACATAATTTGGATTTTACATGCCCATTCTAATGTTGTATTTGCAATTACATTGACTGTGTGGTAAATTATTTTTGAGAAGAGTCTCATGAAAGATAGGCTTCAAATTTACATACACACTGAATATATAAAGGAAGAAATGCAGAATACTTTTCTGACCATAAAAGTACACATGTGGCAAACAGTGTTCTTAGATGTGTCTAAAATCTTTTCTTGAGTAATGTCTCCTAAATCCATTTGTTCATATGTCATCCTTCAAAATGCAGTCACACAAATACTGACTTGGTCAACATTGTCTATGCTTTCTTTTTTTGCAGAAGCTGGAAGTTCTTCTAAAGATTTAACAGCTTGGTTTAGCCTCTTTGCTGATCTGGACCCTTTGTCCAACCCAGATGCTGTTGGGAAAACAGATAAAGAACATGAATTGCTCAATGCATGACTTGTCTACCTATGGTAAATCTCTATTCACCAATCATTAACACTGTCTTGGAGGTTTAAGAAAATTTAAAACTGAACCAATGCATTGTTGTACGACTTCTCAGTTTTGTGCCATTCTAATAAAATCACAGGATTGACCTTTCCCTTTCTATAGGTTACAATTATTAGCTCTTGTTTATATAAACAGTTTACACCCATTTTTGTAAGTAGATGTACTGAATGAAATTTTGGTTTAAAGAGAATTGCTAAGTAGATTAGTGTACTTGATGTCACTTGATTATCTTGACAGCAGTCACATGGTAATAAAAAGATAAAATGTAAAAGAAAGGTTATTTTTGTATATTTATTCTTTGCCTAAATCAGAAAAGAAAATCATATAATTGGAAGTTGCATGGATTGAATCAGGAAGACAATAATGTGTAATAAATGCAGAATATAAACTAAATTTCTATTCTTAGTATCAATAATGAAAAATCTATACTTTGGGACTAATCATAAGAAAATTATAGTTGAGTATGAATCTTCTGCTCACTCTCTGATTTTAAATTATTAAATAGCATGGCATAAGTTCAAATCCACTGCCAAGACTACATACTTTTAGAGTGTTCTTTTGTGCCAGCAGTTTCTGCTATAAAAGAGACTAGATTTTTATTGCCTTTGCCACCATGTGCATTCATGATAATCTTCGTTTCTTCTATAAGCCTCTTTTCATTGTAGCTGGTTTCATACAACCATATTCTTAAGCCTGTTGTAACACTCTTCTTTAATAAAGATGGTTTTGACAAAAAGTATGTGCAAAGGATCTTTTTTATCCATTGGAACATAAAAAATTAAAATGATAGAAATACCATCACTTGTGGTCAGAAATTTAAAATTAATTTTATTGTTGAAAAAATAGCTCATAAGAGAAGAGTTGTTATCAATATGAATTATCTCAGGCATTTATTTAATTATAGTGTCCAACTACCTGGTGCCAGATGACTGTCATGGAAAAGAAGCAAGCATACAAACAAATTAGCAAGCTAATCTTTGTAGAAGAGGTTCTTTTTAATCTCTCTTCTCTAGTTGTTTCTGTCCATCCAGTACAAGGCAGAGTAGGTCAGATGGGGTCCCTATAGATATACATCATTTTGTGGGGCCATAAAAACCTGCCTTCTCTGCCCCAATACCTGTCTTCTGAAACAAGAACTCCCCATGAATACATTCAATTCCCACCCTTCAAATGTTCCAGGACCTTAAGACCTAGCTGAAGATCTGGACCTATTCCAAGGCATAGAGTTAGGATTATAAGTATTCTAACTCTATGCCTGAGAATAGGTCCAGATCTTTTGGCAGTCTAAATTTGTTATTCATCTGGTTTTATGGGGTTGATCAGCTTTCTTTTTTAAAAAATTATGTATTCTTTTAAAAATCATAAGCCACACAGTGTCTATGCTCCCTTTTACTCCCATTTCATGTATTAATAATCATGTTCATTTATTTATTTTTATTGCTTACAAGATAATAGGTATAAATAAAAACATAGTTATGAATACATGGATACATATAAGAAAAATAAAAAAATAATAAAAGAAACAATAGGACAGGGATGGTAGGCACATTGGTGTGCTTATGCACGCCCCCTACAGACCTCTTAGGAAAGGGATGAGGTCAATAGTAGACAGTCTAAGGTTAAAGTTTTTGGGGTTTGGGGAAAAATCTACAGAGTCAGGTAGAATATTCCAGACATTGACCACTCTGTTGCTAAAGTTGTATTTCCTGCAATAAAGTTTGGTGCGATTAACCTTGAGTTTGTATCTATTGTTTGCTCTTGTGTTGTTATGGTTGAAACTGACAGGTAGGACATTGCAATGTATGATTTTATATACTATAGTTAGATCGGACCAAAGGCAGCATAGTTCTAGGTTTTCTAGGTCTAGAATTTCAGGTCTGGTGGCATAAGGTATTCTGCAACAAGTAGAGGAGTTGAGAACTCTTCTTGTGAAATATTTCTGGACTTTCTCAACTGTGTTAGTATCAGATACGTAATGTGGGTTCCAGACTGATGAGCTGTATTCAAGTATTGGTCTAGCAAATGTTTTGTATGCTCTAGTTATTAGTGTAATATTACCAGAGAAAAAGCTACATAAGATTAGGTTAAAAACTCTTAATGCCTTTTTTGCTATGTAGTTACAGTGGGCTCTAGCACTTAGGTCATTTGAGATGAGAATTCCTTGACAGAGTTTGGATCATCAACAAGGTCTTGACTATTCAGCCTGTATTTTATTTTCTGGGTTGTTGTTTTTTGCCAATATGTAGGACAGAGCATTTATTTGTTGAGATTTGAAGTTGCCATTTGTTTGACCATCCTGATACATAGTCAAGGTCTTTTTGAAGGGTAGCAGTATTGTCTGTGGTGTTGAATAACTTTACATCATCAGTGAAGAGAACGCAGTTGCTCTTGATATGATCACAGAGGTCATTTATGTAGATTATGAAAAGAGTTGGTCCTAGAACACTGCCTTGGGGGACACCATTGTTGACAGGTACAGAATTTGATAAGACACTCCCAATTTTGACCATTTGTTTTCTGTTTGACAGGAATGCTTCTATCCAGCAATGCAGGTGTCCAGAAATAACATAAGATTTTAGTTTTAGGAGTAGTTTGTCGTGTATCACTGAATCAAAGGCTTTACAGAAGTCCATGTAGATTGTGTCTATTGCTTTGCCCTGCTCGAGTTGTGTAGTCCATATGTTTTTGCAGTGTAAGAGTTGCAGATTACATGATAGGTTTTTCCTAAAACCAAATTGTTTGTTAGAGAGTAGGTTGTTTGTTTCTAAGTGGAGGAGGATGGATTGGTTAATAATTGATTCCATGACTTTACAGGTGACGCAGCATAAAGAGATTGGTCTGTACTTTTCAACTAGGCTGGGGTCTCCCTTTTTGAAGATGGGGATGACTGTGGCTTGTGACCATAGTTTTGGCAAGGAGCTGGTCCTGAAAGATTTTTCAAAGATTATGCTTAGAGGTTCAGTTATGGCAGTGGATAGCTTTTTTAAGAAGTAGGCACATATTCCATCCGGTCCAATAGACAGAGATGGTTTTAGATTGTGCAGTGCTTTTTCAACAATGTCTTCTGTAAAATCAATATGTATTAGATCATTGTAGTTTTCTGTGGTTTGGTTAGGAAATACTGGGCATGATCCATTGCTGTTTACAAATACTGAGCCAAAGAATGTGTTAAAGATGTTGGCTTTAATAGTGTCATCGTTTGTAGAGTTGTAATTGCAGGAATGTTCCATTCTCGGATGGCAAACTTCAGATAAAGAATGTTTCCAAGCAAATACAACTCAGGCAAACAAAGTCACTAATCTATGGAGAAAGGAGGATTAGAGAGGGGAAGTAAACATATGTTAGACTTTAACTAGAGATAATTAATTGTATGGATTACTGTACTAAACAGTAATGAAAGTTAAGCAATAACCAAAGTTAACCAATGATGGAAGATAACTAAAAATGTATATAAATACAAGAGTATACTTGAATAAAGATCATCATGATTCAGTTGTTCATGATCAAACAACTCGACTGCCTCGTCATTACAACAAGTGGTGCATGGACAGGGACCCTCTTACTTCGTCCGGCAAGGATTTGGTGCACCTTCAACCCTTTGTGGTTTCTTCAACCTTTTGGTTTCTGTAAGTATGGGGTCTTCGCTTTCTGAGGAACAAAGGAAGCATGTAGATGAATTAGGCTATTTGTTGAAGAAAAATAATACTGAGGTACCACAGAAAAATCTCTTAAGGCTGGTCCAGGAGATTGCAGCTCAGTACCTATGGTACCCAGAAAAGGGGTCTTTAAAATTAACTGATTGGGAACGTATTGGGAAAACTTTGCATACTGAACCTCGAGCAAAAATAGAAGTTTTGCATGTGTGGCATTTATGTAGGCATGCAATTGAAAAATTTGGTCACAATGAACTTTTAACACCTCCACCTTCACGTTATACTAATGCTGTCATTTGTCCCCCTTCTTCACCTGAATATATGTCTTCAAATCCCTCAGCTCCTGCAGATACAGGGCAAAAGCCTCCTGACTCTATTGTTCAGTCTTCTTTTCAGAAAATGGTAGAGACTTGTAAAAGGGATGCCTCTGTCTCAGGAACAGAACTTGCAGAATTACTGTCTGTTTGTCCGGTGCAATATCATCCTGGTCAGAGGCCACAGCTTGGACTGCAAGTAGCAGAATGGGAGGGTCTGCCTTATCAGATCTTAAGAAAGTTTAAAAAGGCAGTTACAGACTATGGGATTAGTGGTAATTTTACAAGAGGACTTGTAGAAGGAATAAAAAATGGTTATACAATGATCCCTGAAGATTGGAAGCAAATATTTTGCATGATTTTAACATCCATGCAATATGTGGTTTGGGAGAGTGAATATATATGAGACATGCTCAAGCTGCTGCTTTAGGAGGAGGAGCATATACAGTTGAGCAACTATTTGGTTCTGGACCATTTGGTACAATTCCTACTCAAGTTGTTCTTCCTCCAGGTACGTTAACTATTGTTTCTGAATGTGCCTTTCATGCTTTTCTTATGGTACCCCAAGCTGGAGAACCTAGAGCAAATTTTTCAAACATTCGACAGAATGCCAACGAGCCTTATGCTGACTTTGTTGAGCGTCTGTCCAAAGCAATTAGACAGCAGTATTTTCTCATTTTTCAAATTTTTAGCAAATACAATCCTAGCCGCTGTTAATACATTTACAACCAAATATTTTAAATCTTTACTGCATGTATCGGGTAAAATTCCCAATAAAAAAATCTCTGGTTTCAAGTCTATGTGTTTCTTTATCATTTTTTCCAACCACATGTGGATTTTAGTCCAGTATTTTCCAGCATCCTCACAAGTCCACCACATATGGTAATATGAGCCGGGTATCTGATGACATTTCCATCATTTTTCAGATTTATTCTTGAACATTCTTGCTATTCTTGTCGGGGGAAAATGCCACCTGTAAAACATCTTATACAAATTTTCTTTATATGCTATTGACATGGTCATTTTATAATTTTGAGACCACAATTTTTGCCATTTCTCTAAATCAATCCCATATCCAAAATTCTTCCCCCAAGCAATCATAGTTTTTTTAACTTGTTCTTCCTCTAGTTTAGTTTCCAATAAATAACCATACAATTTTTTAAATTACCTTTTCATCAGTACCTGTCAAAATCTTATCTAAGTCAGTCAATTTGTCATAAAATCCTTCTGTTTTGAGATCTTCATCATACCTTGAATGTATTTGCACATATGAAAACCAATTCATCTTTATACCTTGTTCCTCTAGATTTTGCATCGATTTAAGTTCACCCTTTTCATCCAATATTTCCCAATAGTCGATAACCAGACTGGAATTTTCAAATAACATTGTCTTTTAATCTTCTCCCAATTTAACCACAGAGACTCCCGTATATGATGTCTTCTAAAATAGCCCTGTGTTTTAGTTCCCTTATACCATAAAAAAGCATGCCACCCCAACAACAAATCATGTCCTTCTAATGTCAACAATCTAGTATTTCTTAATGTTATCCATTCCTTAGCCCACATCAAGTTTGTAGCTTGGTAGTACAACTCCCAATTAGGCAAACCAAATCCTCCTCTAATTCTAGCATCTTGCAAGAGTTTTAACTTTATTCTCACTTTCTTACCTTGCCATATATATTTCAGCACAATTTTATTTAAATCTTCAAAATAGTCTTTTCCAAGCCTAATTGGTATCATTTGAAACAGGTATAAAATTCTGGGTAAGA